GCGGGGCTCGATCCCAGGACCCTGGGATCATGACCTGAGCCAAAGACAGACGCTTAATGACTGAGCCACCCAAGTGCCCCTCCCTTTTGTGTTTTAACCGGTAATGAATAGATGCAAGGAGCAAATGGGGTCACAGTTTACCTTATTTATTAAAAGCAGGAGTGTGCAGTAATTCCCCAACACAAAGCTCTCTGATTAAGCAGGATTTGGGAATGTTGCTAGGTTTTAAGATCACAGTGGATTCTCCTGCTACTGTTCCCTAATCTGGACATTGCAACCTGTCCTGTGGAATTGAGTTCATAAGTCACACCTGAAATGTCTTGCTCGCCTCAGAAATCATTTGTGAGAAACAGACAGGTCCTATTGCCTTTCAAGGCAGCATGTCTCTAAGCTATTCTAGTTGATTAGATTAGCTACTCCTTTCCTAGGAAGAAACAAGTATGTAGGAAGAGAGTAAAAGCTTTAGCAGTGAAACCCTGGGGTCCAGTTTTGGCTATATTTCTTTTTAGTTTTGTGCTTTTACTCAAGTTACTTAATCTCCTCGAACCTTGGACCTCTCAGTTCCAATGTGAGGAGAATATATGGTGCTGTGAAGAAGCCGTAACAATGAAATGAAATAATATGGGCTAAAGTGCTTTATAAATTGTGAAATGCCATATAAATGCAGTGTGTTAAGTGTCTATTTCATGTGTATATGTATATATATAAAGTGTATATATATTATTATTTTTTAAAGTTTTATTTATTTGAGAAATCGTGAGCACGAGCAGGGGAGAGGCAGAGGGAGAGAGAAAGGGAGAGGTAGGCTCTCTGCTGAGCAGGGAGCCCAGTGAGGGGCTTGATCCCAGGACCCTGGGATCATGACCTGACCTGAAGGCAGACGCTTAACCAATTGAGCCACCAGGGCACACCTTAATTGTCTATATATTATTGTATATATATTAAGTATCTATTTCATATGTACATGTATATATATCTGTAATATTTGGTATTGTCTTTTTATCAAGACTGTAAGCTCCTTGAGGGCAGGAACCATGTTAGTCTCACCATTTTGTTTTACTCTAGTGAGGACAGGGGTATGCATGCACTGAGCACTTGATACATGTTTGTTGTAAGTAAAATTAGGTTTTAGTAGGACTGCCTTACCAGCAGGTTCTCCTTTACTCTGGTATTTGGGAAAATCTTTTAATTTAGCTTCAAGTCTCGCTTGTTTTACCCCCCACCTATCAACAGACCATTCGTAATTCCAGCTGATTAGAACAGAAGAAAATTCAGTTTGCATTTCATCTTGTACCTGTGAAAGTACTCTGACTTTTAAAAGTTTTTATTTTTCTTGGTCTTAATTCAGGGCACAAGCTATAGCCATCGGACAAGCAATGGTCGATGGACGTTGGCTGGATTGTGTCAGTCATCACGACCAGCTTTTCAGGGACGAATATGCACTGTACAGACCACTGCAGGTAGTTTTGCATGTCACCGCTGACAAGAGTATGGCTGGCATGTTGTGAAGTCTTTCTTCATCAGTGGGAATAAAAAGTTGTTGAATTAGCCAGAGATACCTTTTCCTGACATGTTTTCCCTGTTGTCTGAAAGTTAAAAATATTTTTACTTGGTAGGGAGGGGTGATGAAAAACCTATTGGAATTGGACACTTTCCAGTTGGCTTGGCTTTTTTCTTTCTTTCTTTTTTTTTTTTTTAAAGATTTCATTTATTTATTTGACAGAGAGAGGCACAGCGAGAGAGGGAACGCAAGCAGGGGGAGTGGGAGAGGGAGAAGCAGGGTTTCTGCAGAGCGGGGAGCCCAATGCGGGGCTCGATCCTAGGACCCTGGGACCATGACCTGAGCCGAAGGCAGACGCTTAACGACTGAGCCACCCAGGTGCCCCATGGTTTGGCTTTTCTTGAGCTGGGCCTCATGGTATTATATATAGTTGCCTGTCATTTACCTTTAATGGTTTTCAGTTTCACTATGTCTGTGTTTTCAGGACTAAGAGAGTATATAAATATATAATAAAATGACTGAAAAAATTTAGTATCCCCAATGCAGTAGATTTTGACACATTAGCAGTATTGTATAGCAGTGGTAAAACGATTATTTATATATATCTTTATTTTAGGGAATAGAAATTATTTAAAATAGAACTTTTTTTTTAAAGATTTTGATTATTTATTTGTCAGAGATACAGCGAGAGAGGGAACGCAAGCAGGGGGAGTGGGAGAGGGAGAAGCAGGCTTCGTGCTGAGCAGGGAGCCCGATATGGGGCTCAATCCCAGGACCCTGGGACCATGACCTGAGCTGAAGGCAGACGCTTAACGACTGAGCCTCCCAGGCGCCCCTAAGATAGAACTTTTTAAAAAGATAAGCTTTCACTTTTGGTCTATGTTAATTTTATTTTTATACGTATATATAAAATTAGGAATACCTTTGTGAACTAAAATTGGAAACTCAAAGGTTAGAAAAAACAAATGACCAAAAAGACTGGTGTGGTGTTATTTGTTAAAATTTAACAGTTGTTTTCCAGAATGTGTCCTAGCGTTGGCACAGGGTTAGAATAAATTCTAAGCCAGGTTTACTCTCAGGACTAAAAGGGATGAAATGAAACACTGTAAAATATGTATATTATGTTTTCTCATATTAAGCTGTCTGAACCTACTGATTAACGACAATTAGAATTATCAGAGTGGAATTATCAGCATTAATGCTGGTTTACAACTTAGTGTCTATTAATTTGTTTATTTTTATGTAAATTTATTCAGTGTTAGCTTTGTAGAAGTATTGGACTAGAGTTTATTTGTAGTGTTGCCATTGAACGTTGCCACTGAAAGTGAATTACTTGGATCTTGTCTTGATCTTTCCAGAGTACAGAATTTTCCGAGACCCCTTCTCCAGACAGTGACTCAGTGAACTCTGTGGAAGGACACTCTGAGCCATCCTGGTTTAAAGACATAAAGTTCGATGACAGTGACACGGAACAGATAGCTGAAGAAGGTGACGATAATTTGACTAGTGAGTTTAAACTTTCTAACATTTTAATTTTTATGACTCATTACTGTGTGTGTATGATAAAATGAGTGTCTTGTTTGTTTAGTTGAAACAATCCTACTTTTAAGTTTTATGGCACCAACTAAACATCTGATAGCAATCCTTGTTCTAGATACAGTATTTTCTTAAGAAACCAACTTGTTAGGCTACTGGCGTTTTCAGATTTTGCCATAGTCTCTAGTTTGCAGCAGCTTAAAAATAACTCTGAGCTAATAATATCGCAGCAGACAACTTTCTCACCTCTTCACTATGATATGACTTTCTCTCTGCAGAACCTCCAATATATTTCTCCATCTTAAAAATTCATCTTATATTTAATGTGTTCCAATTTTATTAAGTCTCCACAGAAGTACATGAAAATACTGTATCCATTTTGGTATTGCACATTGGGCTTGTCTATTAAAAGAACATTTTTCTCCTTTCCTCCAATACCCTGATGAAACCCATTTTTACTCCCCTCCTCTCCCTATATTTCTTTCCCCTCCCCGACACTAAAAGATTCTGCCAGTCCTAGCAAGCGCACATCAGTCAGCAGCTTCCAGTCCACAGTGGACAGTGACTCAGCCGCTTCCATCAGCCTGAACGTGGAGCTGGACAACGTGAACTTCCATATCAAGAAGCCCTCCAAGTACCCACATGTGCCCCCTCACCCTGCTGACCAAAAAGGTAGGAGGGAGTCACCATCTGGAATCCGGGCACAGGCTGGAGAGCTGGGCCACACGATCTCACGCCGGCCTGTCCTCCTGGCTTCCTCTGTCCTCGTGGCGGAGGGGATTCGGTGTGGGTCTTGTTCCCCCCTTTCTCATTTCCCCACACTGCCTCCCCACACTTTTTTTGGTTGGTTCCTTTTATTTCTCATTTTCTCCCTCAGTACCACCACTCCCAATTTAAAGCTGGTAGTCTTTAAAAGGAACTACTACTGCTCTTCCCTTAGCATAATGTGCAACTTCCAAGGTGGCATTTCTTTGCATTTATAACATGGATGTTCTGCTCTATTCATTTCTCTTTCTTTATTTAACATTTTAAAGCCTACTTGCTTATGCTATTAACCAGTAACGTAGTATTTCACTAAACCTTTTCAGGTGCTTGAACTATAGTAGGGGGAAAACACACAATCCAAAACATCTTTCTACTATGATTTTAAATGTTTGCTATGGAAAGAAAGAACAGACCGAAGATACACATTTCCTGGTACTGTTGTATTTTTTCCATGGTTTCTAACCGTGATGAAACTTCTCACAGATATTTGCCTGCAGGGAAGGGTCGTGTTGATCAGACTCTGATGTGTATTCCCAGGCCACGCAGTAGTTATATTTTCTGTTGTTAATAAATATAATATCATTCTTGTGTCCAGCTCAAAAAAAAAATGCTTGTGATGTATGTGCCATATTTATAAAAAAGGTTTCTTCTCTGAGTAATGCACAGTGATTTTGATAATTTTAGTTGTCTTATTTGAGGGTTTATTCTACTGACTCAGAAATAATAATGGCCATATTCAGAAGACATTGGTATAAAAGGAAAAATAAGATAAATTATTGCTAAAGTCCAATATAGCATTATATAAAAAATGAAATGGATGTCGAGGTTTACTCTGTTGGCTATAACTAAAAGCCAAATTGAATTTTAGCCCTAAAGAGGCATTATGTAAAATGAAATAAATAAAAAATACATAAGTAAATAAGTAATTGTGAGATTTCATTATGTTGTAGTAACTAAAAAATCATTATAAAGATGAACAACCATTTATTCTATGATTTCACCTGGAGTTTGGATTTTTAACATTTAGCTCTCTAAAGTTGAATTGTTTCCTTAGATTGGAAATGCTTGTCTAATTCCTTGCTACTTCCTATTTTGAATCTAAAAATATCATCAGAAAAGAGAAGCTTTGAACCTAAACATCTGTTCTAAAATAATTAGAAACAAACTCCCATTTCTATAACAAATTTCTAATGGTTGTCAATATTAACCATTACCCTCAAGATGTGGTAAAAAGGCTTTTAAGAGTTACAGTAATAGGGGGAAAAAAAAGAGAGGCAAACCGTAAAACAGACTTAACGATAGAGAACAATCTGAGCGGTGCCAGAGGGGAGGTGGGCAGAGGATGTGCTAAGTGGGGGATGGGTATTAGGGAGGGCATTTGTGATGAGCACTGGGTGTTACATGTAAATGACGGATAATCACTAAATTCTCCTGAAATTAATATTATACTATATGTTAATTAATTGGAATTTAAATTAAAAATTGAAACAACAACAACAAAGAGTTGTAGTAATAAAAAGGTACATCTTATTAAAAAATAGAAATTTAGAGAGAATGCAGTGAAAGAGGAGACTTGACTAGCATTGAACATGAGTAAGATACATATCTTTATGGGAATCCTCAAAACAAATTTTAAGCATGGTGGAGAACATTTGGGTGAGTATGAAAGGACATTGGAGTAGACATGACACTTGGGCGAGATGAACTATAGTCTGGTCTCCTGGAGCATAGTGGGTGATGCTTTTGTAATAGAAATCATAGATGTGGGTCAGAGGTGGCATCTGTTGTGATGCAGGATATCTGTCCTTCGGACACGTGTTGGCAGTGCAGTTTCGTTTTGCTGAAAGTAGAGCATGAAATACATTTTTGACATGATGATTTCATGTCTTGGAAGGTTAGAAAATTACGAAAACCATGAAGGAAGTGACCTGTCGTCATAGTATTCAGAATAGCAAAAGATGAACTGTGGAGCACAGTTGGGCAGTTTGCTTTAGGATGCCTGACTTCCTAATGTTGAGAGAGGAATGGAACAGGAAGCTTCAATACTGACATTTGTACAGTACAACCTCAAATTGTATCCCTAAGGAAATTTAAAGGGGAAGCATCCGCAGTTGAAAAAATCACCATGACTCGTCTGCAACCTCTCTGCCCTCAACCCTTTAAAAAGATTGTCTACAGAAGTTGTGAGAGATACTCTCATATGAGAATAAATCTGAAAGGGGGGCCAGCACTTAAAAAAAAAAGACAGGATAGCAGAAGTCCAGCTTGCACTGATGGATGGAGTAAATGCCAAGGACATCTCAGAAAAGATTTTTTAAATTGTGGAACAATGAAAGAAAATTAGGGTAGTATTCTGGGGAAGGTGATATAATATTAATTGAAGCTTCTCCCCCTCTCCCCCATCAAGGTAATTTTATCAGGAAAGAATATATATGGTTAAAAAGAAAGTAAAGTACAAGGTAATGAAGAGAGGTTAGAGAATGCCTGATTACTTTAAATAAGTCTTTTGCCAGGTTCAGGCGAGATACATACCAGATTATTGAAAGAATTTAGAGCTGTGATCATGGGGCCAGAGTTTGTTATCTTTGGAGAATTATGGTTCAGATGATTGTAGTGACAGAGGCATTAAAATTTTGTAAAAAACAGGTTCTTGATTTGGCATTGGAAGTTGGCAAAATTGTAGAAAAAACTTAAGAGGATGTACTGTGGTATTTAGAAAAGGGCTTGGTGGTTACTGGGCACCGGTGTTGTTAACTAAAATCAATCTTTTCATAACAATCCCATTCCTTCTTTTATGGTGGTATGAGATTGTTAGCTCAGGAGACTGGTAGATACTGTTGTCTTTTATGTTGAGACATTTAACGGTCTCAGTAACCTTGCAGACAAAGAGGACAGTTTCACATTTGAAATATGTTAAAGAGGGAGTTATGGGCGGTATTTATATTTACCTTTTAAAAGCACAGGTTCTCGGGTCTCTGTGAGTCTCTCTGTAAAAAAAAAAAACACACATAAAAAGATTATTGGTGTGTTTGGCAAATGTGAGAACTTAGTGATGTCACTATTAATATAACATGTGGATTTGTCCTTTGTGTAATGGTTGTGCCAAATATTGAAAGAGTAACCTGATAGGAACAGGAAAGGGATGCTCACAGGTTATGCTGTAGGGCATAGGTCATGTGCAACCTAGAGAGTCTAAAATTTAAGGCCTTTTTAAAATTCCCTTGATAAATGTTTCTGGCTTTCACAGTTCTCTCCTGTTAGTTTTTAGCATACTAACAAGAATTGTTCATTTTCTGTTTTTCTTGTGAAGTTGAAGTACAATAATGTATTTTTTCTGCATTGTAGTTAAGACTAACACTGATTACCAGAAAGTAAAGATTGTCAGAGTGAACTGGTAGTCAGGCGAAAGAGTAATACACTCCTCTGCCTCCTGTTTTCCTTCCTTTTAGAATGTAAGTGGGAATTGGTGGGTTTTATCTTTCCGTTGAAGTTAAAGGTAATATTTATAAAATATTTTCTTAGGAATCATCTTTTATCTTCCAAGGCTGAGGAAATTTGGATTTCTAAAAATGACTTACATATCTGTACTTAAAAAAAATCTGGTATTTTTTACCTTATGTAAGCAAACCCCTCATTTTCATAAACTTGTAAAACTGGAACATTGCAGTCTTCTTGCTTGATTAGTTTTTCACTATTGGTAAAACTTGGAGAGTTGTACAATTAAAATACATTTTGTTATGTTTTGCAAGCAGGATCTGAACCATTCTTGACAAATTAGTGAGTAGAACCTAGAGAGGGGAAAATCATAGCTTCCATAAGCTTCTAGATCTAACTTCCCATTTACAGGAAAACCTGTAGGAGCAAGTTAAACAGCACCATACGGAAACAATCTAATCGAATCCAGAAAATGGGACATTCCACAGGACATTTGGCCTGGGTTCTTTCAAAATTCATTATCATGACAAAGTAAAAAGGTAGGGGGTTTGCTTTGGACTACAGTAGAATGAAGGAACTGTAGCGTATGAACCTTATTGGATCCAGGTTTGAGGCAAAAAATTTATTAAAGCATTTTGGGGACAGATAAATTTGAAGAATATGCACTAATTTCATCATATTAAGACATTGTCAATTTCCTTTTTTTTTTTTTGAAGACATTGTCAATTTTCTTAAGTATGCAAATGGTATTGTGGCTATAGAGAAGAGTGCCCTTATTTTTATGAAATGTATGCTGAAGGCTTAGTGGTCAAGTGTCATGATGTGTGTAACTTCAAATGGTTGGGGAAAAATGCATACATATATGTAGAGAGAAATCAGATAACGGAATGTTAACGATTGTTAAATCTAGGTGAAGGGGATACAGGATTTTCTGTATGTTTGAAAATCATCGTCATCATATATATATATGTATATACATATATATACTTAATCTTTAGTGTGAAAAGTAAAGCTTGAAGCCAATATGTTAGTTGAACAAACAGATTGGCATTATTCATTTCTGTGTGGGAGGTGTAGAAATAAAGTATAACACCTGTTTTTATTTGTCCACATACTTGATTTATTGTATTTGGCATGGTACACTTTGAATTTCCAATGTAAAACTTTTTCTCTGCTTTCTTGTTGAAAGGATGCACATTTTAGCTTATAAACATAGCGTCTTCTGAAGCTCATTTGTTATACGTGAAATCTACTTGGAAAGAATTTTGTGGAGAACCTTTATTTTAAAAGGCTTAAAATACATTGTATCGTTTGCATAGTAGAAAGAACCTCACTTGAGCTATGCTTGGTCAGGGATGCAAAGAAAAGTTCATGGGGAAGTAAAGAGTAAGTTTCACTTGTGAGAAAAGTAACATTCTAAAAGTTCTAAAAGAACACAGTGTGTATTCAGTTATGGCAACTATTTGGCAGTGTTTAGTTAGAATTTTGAAAAACTGAAACCCTAATTTGAAAGCTCATAAAAATCCTGATGAGTTAAGTCTTTATTCCCTGCCAATGTCACTTCTGTATTAATTTGCTTTATAGCATATAGTCTGAAATTTGGGGAAAAAAAACACCTTATATATTTTTTCAGGGGGCTTCTCTATCTGTAAACTATTCTGTATATAGACAGTGATTATTTGTGAAATCCTACAGTTATACATGAGAAAAATAGTGTAACTTTTTAGGCTTGTCATACCTAAATTACTAAAGATCTCAATTTTTATAAACTGGTTCAGCTTTGATAAGGGAAAAGCAATCTGTTAAAGATTATCTGATGTTACTGCTTCAAGGTTCTGTTGAGTTTTATTATTCAAGTCTTAATTATTAAGTTTGGTTTGAAGTGTGTGGAATAAGTATAAAGATGCATTTTAGCCTAAAGCTTTCTTCAATTGGCTGGGCAGTGTTGGGTTTAGTATGACTAATACTTTGTGTGTAGGTGTGGTCTCTGTATAATTACGCTGGCATGTTTCAGTCATAAGTCTCTCCTTTTCTTCCTCCTCTGCTCTCTTCGTGGTATGCAGAGTATTTGATTTCTGACAATGGAGGACAACAACTCTCAATAAGTGATGCCTTCATCAAAGGTAATTTTATCAAAAGCTGTACATGGGATGGTCTTATTTGTAAGAGTGTACTTAGGGCCTAGCACGTTGATTGGCACAGAGTAGGTACTAAAAATAAATTTGATTAGTTTAGTACTATAGGAACACAGTTTTTATATGTATAGTAACTCTGAGAATGTCGGTAATGAAGAATATAAACTTGGACTTGGTTTGAGAGAAGATACTGGTCTGAAAAGCAATTGTTTAAAAGCTTTTAAATTGAATTTGAATTTTATTCTTTGAAAGTCATAGTTTATGCTTCCCAAATCATGAATATAATATTAAGTATCGATACACATATCATCAAGGATTCTCAAACTTGTCAAAAAGCCCCCAGAGAGATCTCATCCATTTGAGGATGCTGCCGGCCCTGTGGAATTGGAAAGAGAAATGGGGAAATAGAGATAAAGAACTAACTTTGCTGATTAATTTCTTGGGGACAGAAGGCAGTATAGAAGAAGACAGCCTTCTCTTACACCTTCCCTACTTAGCTTACTGTGGAGTAAAGATACTTAATTAGTTCATAACACTCCACAGCTCAGACCTCAGATAAGTTCTCATAACTTAGCAGTGTTTCTCAATTCATCTCTGAACATCTGGTTCAACTAGGAGTTTATATAGGCTAGCTGTTTACATCATTAAAGTGTACAGTTTTTTGTACCTCATATGAACACATGCTTTACTTTGTAGTGCTGGACTGTTCGGTTGAAAGTTTTCTTTGTTTGGTTTGCTTTAAGAGAGGGAAGGATTAGATAATTTTTGTAAGCATTTGCCACCTCTTTCCATTTATTCAGTCACATTTTTCAGTAATTATATAGTGAGCATCCTTTTTGCAAAGCTTTTTTTTTTATGATTTTATTTATTTATTTGAGAGAGAGTGAGAACTAGAGAGAGAGAGAGAGAGAGAGCACACACAGAGGGAGAAGGACAGAGAAGCAGACTCCCTGCTGAATAGGGAGCCCTATGTGGGACTCATGCCAGGACCCTGGGATCATGACCTGAGCCGAAGGCAGACACTTAACTGACTGAGCCACCCAGGCGCCCCTCCTTTCTGCAAAGCTTTTAATACAGTGTGTTTTTTGTCTAGATGCATTTTCATTCTTTTTAAAAACTTAAAGATTTTACAAAAATTTACAAGTTATCATGTTTTAATATTTTTTTATAGTTCATTTTTGGGTCTGATTTATAAAAGTTTTGCTTAAAAAAAGGCCTTTGTTCTAATTTTGAGAAAGAAACACTGTAAAGAATTGTCTGAATAGACTGTCTGCACTGTCCTGTACTGGTTGAGACATATCAGGGCTGAGCTTTCCTCTTTAAAGTTCAGCACCCACACTGTCACATGTCGTTCTACCAGCATTCAGAGTTCTGTTGAATGCAGTTTTTGGTTTGTGATTTTACAGGGAAAGGCAGCCCCCTTCTTTTCGAATGTAATAAAAGGACTGTTTTTCAGAAGCTGTATTTTATAATTATTGGCTTGAGGGTCCTAGTCATTTTGGCTGTTGTGAATATTGATGATCGAACTCACACTTAATTTTTTTGTGTATTTACACATGTCCTTGCCTTTTTTACACCAGCAATTTGAATTGGCTGAGTTTAAAAACTTAAAAAGATAAATTTGCACTTTATAAATCTATTAAGTACATGGCATAAAACATAACAGTGAAGTACAATTTCTTATTTTACACTTAGAATCCTTATTTAATCGTCGAGTTGAGGAGAAATCCAAAGAGCTGCCTTTCACACCTTTGGGCTGGCATCATAACAACCTGGAGCTGCTGAGGGAGGAGAATGGAGAGAAACAAGCCATGGAGAGGTTGCTGTAAGGCAGTGAGCTTTTTGATGTTAATTTTCCATTTTTATAGTTTTCAGTGATTTGATGGTCATATGTGTAGTTCGTCTTCCTAATAAAGTCAAAAATACTAAGATTACTTAGGAAATAAAGCCTGTTCTGATGAAATTTCTTATAAAATGAGAGTCCTAAATTGTGATTGTCTGTCCCAGTTGTAATTTCTATGTTAAAATTTAGTTGAATTAAAGGGGTTATCTTAATTGAAGATACAGATTTCATTCATGTGCAAAATCATTAAGGTACAGATGAAATACGATTGGCTCAAGAAGATCTTGTCTTTGAGCCATAATTCATATGCTATTTCTTTGTAGACTGCTTATTGCATCTTCAAAATTATTATCTCTGGCAGTATTAACTATGCAAACTTCTTTCTTGTGACATTTTTGTAGTTCAGCTAATCATAACCACATGATGGCACTACTCCAACAGTTGCTCCATAATGAGTCATTGTCACCATCTTGGAGGGACATCATCGTATCACTGGTCTGCCAGGTTGTTCAGACAGTCCGACCGGATGTCAAGAATCGGGACGATGACATGGATATCCGTCAGTTTGTCCATATTAAAAAAGTGAGCTCTGCTAATGCTTTTCTAATGCTCGGAACTGATAGGGTGGGCCTGGTAGTAATTTGTCTCTTAACGGTAATCTAAAAGGGGTTCTAAGTAAGGAGTGGGAGGTTTTTCTGTCTGCTGTTTGTTAGCAGTGCACTTACATGTCAAAGAAGCCACCCATAGGAAATGAGAGGTGAATGGAAGGGGGTGACTTGGGCATGGAGTGGGAAACCAAACAAATGTGGTTTCTTCCTTTTTTGCTTCCTTTTTCTTGACACATCATCTATGAGAATACCTCTTCCCACAGATTACTGTCACTGTTCTAAGGAAAAGCAGTGGGTAATTGCCTTTTTTAGATAGTGGACGCCTATATGTATTTTTTGCCTATGACATTTGATTTAGTAATGGTTTTAATTGCCAATTTGGTCAGTCATATGGGTATTTTAGAGTACCAGGTAAGAACGTAGAGAGTGGGAGGTGGGAAAATAGTCATGCTAGATCTCATTAATTATTGGTTGAAAGAAAGAATTATATCCTGGAACTTTCTGTTCTGATTTGATTACATAATAGTTAAAATTAAAAATGGAAATAAATAATAGCATCTATCTGACTGGATTCTAATAATATATCATTGAGTTTTGTTTTCTTGTTTCATTAGATTCCAGGTGGAAAGAAGTTCGATTCTGTGGTTGTCAATGGATTTGTTTGTACCAAAAATATTGCACATAAAAAGGTAATGTGATCTCTTCGACAGTGAAGTTCAGCAAATTGTGACTGTGTACCAAGCCAACAAGTTGGGGTACCCTAATCGTAGGAGAGAAGGAGAATGGATATCAAGGAGCAATTAGCAGTGTCTGCCATAGGGGTGAAATTTTGGAGGTTCGGGTAAGGTCTTCAGAGCTGATGATGATTAGGTTTTGGATGATAGGAATTCATGAGGCAAGAGAAGAAGGGAGAGGATGGGTCAGGTTCCAGACCAATAGAATGATAAGGTACTGGTATCATTTCTTCTTGCCCTGCCACATCTTTGGGAGACAAGGTTTCTCTAATAGACTGGAGTCCTTCCAGAGGCCTAGCATTTTAAAACTTTTAAAACTTTGTTCTCTCTTCTAGGGCTGAGCTGCAGAACTATCACTGGTGTTCTGTTATCCTTCTCACCTTCTATCTTTGCCTTCAGGCCTCTTTCTAGCACTAGTACAAAGGAATGGGGTGAAATAACCTGGTGTATTAAGGAATCTCTGAGATCCTAAGGTGCAAGATGAGAAAGGAGATGAGGCTGGAGGAAGCAGGCAAGGGGCTTTGTATCCCACTAAGGGTCTTGAACTCTATCCTGAAGGCCACTGATTCTCAAAGTGCTTGGTACATCAGGGTCCCCTGTGGACCTTGTTAAATACGTAGATTCCTAAGCCCAACCCCTAGAAATTCTCATTCATTATAAGGGAGTGGGAGTGTGGGGCTGCTTTTAAAGTAGGCACTGCACGTGTTTCCAGTGTCATTGGTTGGTCCTCATGTTTTGAAAAACCATCAGTCTAGCAGTGCTCTCAAACTTGCTGTGCTTCCAGATCACTCTGGGAACTCACTACAAACAGAGATACCCTGACCCCCACCTCTGGAGATACCAGTTTGGTTACAGTGGGAGCTCAGGTAGATTTCTAGCCTGAGCAACCTGATGGGTGGAACTACAGTCCTATTTTCACTCTTTTCTAAGCAGAGATTAAATTCATTTTTCTGTAAGGCATGAAGCCTCCCAGAAATTGTTAGTGACCATAGATAAAACTATGTTTGGATTTGATCCAATGTCATTATATCTACATAGTATCTTATTAAAACTGGCACATTATGCATCAAGGTAGTAATTTAAGCCAAATTAAGTGATCTCTGTAGAATTAAGAGGAAAGTATGTTGAGCTTATCTCCAGAGTTGAAAATTGTATGTGGGAGTGGTAGAAACATATGCATGAATGACTGTCTTGCTCCACTGACCATATTTATCTTTTAATTTGTAGTTGCTAAAAAAAAAAAAAATCCCTAAATGTAGTTTCCCAACTGACGTGTTCATTATTTTAAGGCCCTTTGCAACTTGGGAGTGTATAAGCACAGTCATTCTGAAACCCCCACTGCAGGGGGCCTGGGCTGCTGGGCCTGTGGCTTTAGTTGCATCGTTAGGGTATATTGTTTGAGTCCGCACTTCTGGATACACTTTAAGGTTTTCCCTTTTGCCTTCTTGTTACCCAGTTTGGCTTGCCAATGTATCACTGCTTGGAATCTATTCAGGAGGTGTTTTAATTCTTTTCTCCCTCCTTTCTCTTTGGATTTTAGAAAGTTTAAATTATGCTTTTGAAGTTACTGATCTCTACGAGTTCGTGAGGTATCCTGTCTTTAAGCCCCTCTCTTTAAAGACATGATAAAAACTTTTATGAGTGTAGAGGATTAGGTTAAAATAGAATTAGTGAAACAAAGCCAGTTTTTGAGGAAGTCTGCATTGCTCTGAGCAGTTTGTTTTGAAAAAATATGTAAGAGAATACCACAAAAGAACTAAATGAGGGTATTTCGATACAAATATAAGGAGATAGTCTATTTAGGAGGAATTATAAACAGTATGACTTTAAAGATACGATTAGAGAAGGTCTATAAGGTGCAAACTTTAAAAGCTTTTAACACATTTCATGTTTTGTAGATGAATTCTTGTATTAAAAATCCCAAAATTCTTCTGTTGAAGTGTTCCATTGAGTATCTCTACAGAGAAGAAACTAAATTTACTTGCATTGATCCTATTGTGCTTCAGGTAAGGACTTCTTACTGAAACAATGATCTGGAGGGATCTTTGTGTACTATAGTGCTTGCACACTCAGAGAGATTGCAGGTTTGGTTCCAGACCACTGCAATAAAGCCAGTGTTGCAATAAAGCATATCAAATGACTTGTTTGGTTTCCCGGTGCATACAAAAGTTATGTTTACACTCTACTGTAGTCTAATAAGTATGCAGATACCATTGTATGTAAAATAAATATATACTTTAATTTAGAAACACTTTATTGCTAAAAAGTGCTAGCCATCATCTAAGCTTTCAGGGGGTTGTTCATAATCACTGATTACAGATTACCCTAACAAATATAATAATAATGCAAAAGTGTAAAAAACCGTGAGAATTACCAAAATGTGACACAAATACGAAGTGAGCAAATGCTGTTGGAAAAATGGTGCCAGTAGACCTGTTTGACACAGGGTCGGCACAAACCTTCAATTTGTAAGAGATGCAGTATCTGCAAAGCACAGGAGGGCAAAGCACGATAAAGTTTGCCTGGAATCAGAAGGAGGAGGAAAAGCAAAGGGCAAGGAGATAAGGAGCCTTTGGCTTCAGAGTCTTCACAAAGCTGACACTGCTCTGCTCCGTGCTCATGGCCTACTCCCCGATCTTCTTTCCTTGCTGGGCCTGGCCCAGACCTCCTTTGGAACAGGTGCTTCATGTACAATCATGGCAGTTGATTATAGTTGGGACTGAGAGGAAGTGTATTTGCCATTCCTGTGCCAAAGCCCAGAAATTTAAAAAAAATCAACTTCTTCTAGGTATACTTTTAAAGCTGCACAAATAATATCATTTAAAATGCTGTTTAAAGGGCGCCTGGGTGGCTCAGATGGTTAAGCGTCTGCCTTCGGCTCAGGTCATGATCCCAGGGTCCTGGGATCGAGTTCCGCATCAGGCTCCCCACTCATCGGGGAGCCTGCTTCTTCCTCTGCCTCTCTCTCTCTCTCTCTCTCTCTCTCTCTGTCTCTTACGAATAAATAAATAAAATCTTAAAAAAAAATAAATAAAATGCTGTTAAATTACCAGGTAGTAAGTAGAGTAGGAAATTAACACATTTCAAGGGAGAAAAAAAAATCCGTTTTGTTAATAATGGGAGATTTTGAAAATGTCCAATTTCTGTCAGTAAAACAGAGAAAGGTAGAAATATACTCCATCATAGCAGGTTCATTGCATAAATAGGCTCATCCATCTCGTGGCCCTCACCATAAATACAGCTTGCTCAGAACACACTTTGGGCATATGGACCAGAAGTGACAGACATGCTCATACATTCAGGTGTCTCCTGTGTGGAGCCCAGAAATTTTATGAAACAGTGATTTGTATTGTTTTAGTTCTGGTTGTTACTTAACAATACTCATTTGCTTTGAAAATAAGCCTTCGTCAAGCAATTGTATTAAGTGTTAAGTTTTAGATCTTTAACTCTAGCTGTTCTGGGTAGAATATGATCTGCTGGGAGATTGAAATGAGGAAGAAGGTGAAATAGCATCTTTAGAGAGTTATTTACTCAAATACCCAAAGAAGAGCTACTCTGGTTAATTTCAGAACGTAATGGGGGAATCTATAATTAAAAAATTAGAAATTGCTTTCATTGGGGAGTTATGAGGTTAGATTTTTTTATTCTTTTTTTTTTTTAACTTCTGAGAGCTAATTGGATTCTTGGCTTTCATAGTAGAAGTTATTAAGAACTGAAAATCCTTCGAAGTAAGATTAGTGAGTCAGAAAATAGAGTTTCTCCAAAACTCTTTTTAGCATAACCAACAGTTCAGGATTATGAATAATACTCTTGGTTGTGTTTGAAGTAACTTGCTTATGGACTTATTTGTGGATGAAAAGAATTTAGGCTTAGATTTATATTAATATTCAAACTGTCCTGATATTTTAATATCTCTAGATCTTGAATTGTACCAGGTATAATAGTTTTGATGTTTTTTTTCCTCAGGAAAGGGAATTCTTGAAGAATTATGTTCAGCGAATAGTTGACGTTCGACCCACATTGGTTCTAGTTGAAAAAACAGTATCTCGGATTGCCCAAGACATGTTACTAGAACATGGCATTACTTTGGTCATTAATGTAAAATCAGTGAGTGTTCTTATTTTTCTATTTTTATATCATTTTTTAAAATTTCAGTTTTTAAATTTATATGTATGCATGATTGATATTCAGGGATCTTTGATTATCTATTTGCTGTTCCATATATTGAAAGTAGGACAGTAGGCACGACAGCCATTTCATTATTTAGACTGGAGAACCTCAGGCTGGAAGAAAGTGTAATTAATTATATAGTGCTCATTATAGTTGTTTATAAGACCAAAGGTGTAATAGACATTAGTTAATTAGTCCTTGTTGAGCTTTCTTTTTGTTCAGGGAATTGTACAAGTAGAAAATGTTCTCTCTTGAAAAGTTACCCTCTTCAGAATAGTGGCCAATTCTAGGAAATTTTCCCCTACTCCCCCCCCCCCCCCCCCCCCCCCCGGTATCCTGTGCCAATGCATGATGCTTAAATACCTTTTGGTAATGTTATTAATATGATTCTGGTGTTTTCGTGGGCACATATTGTAGTCTAGTCTAGAATCAAAAAAATTGTTATATAATTAAAATTAAGGAAATTATATAATTAAAATTAAGGAAATTGTGAAGTTTATGTCTAAATTTTTATTTTCCAGAAAAAATTTACTGAGAATTTTGTTCTCCTCTTAATTTTGTAATATAATGTTTTTCTGTGTTCTAGCAAGTTTTAGAACGCATCAGTCGGATGACCCAAGGTGATTTAGTAATGTCGATGGACCAGCTGCTTACAAAACCCCACCTGGGCACCTGTCACAAATTTTACATGCAGATGTTTCAGTTACCTAGTGGTGAGTGATCTTTAGCATAGATTCACCTGAGATTGAGGACAAGAGGAAATGAGAAAACTCATTAGTACTACAATGTTTACTTTGTCCTACTAATATTTAATATCTGTTAATAATATCTGGTTGTAATACTAGTATCTGTGAGCAGTGGTTTGATGAGGATTGGCAACTGTGGTCTTAACGGTTTTTCTCCTGTAGAGGTTAAGATAATGAATTAATTCTGTTTGGTCTTACGGATTGCCACCTAAGTCTTCTTAAACTTTCTTTATGTTTATTTGTAGAGCAAACCAAAACATTGATGTTTTTTGAAGGCTGTCCACAGCACCTGGGTTGCACAATCAAGCTTAGAGGAGGCTCTGATTATGAGCTGGCTCGAGTTAAGGAAATCCTAATCTTTATGATCTGTGTAGCTTATCATTCTCAACTAGAAATCTCCTTCCTCATGGATGAATTTGCTATGCCTCCTACGTTAACCCAGAATCCTTCCTTCCATTCTCTCATTGAGGGACGGGAGGATGAAGGGACTGCCCAGGAGCCATTCAGCGGAAGTGCCCTCCCCCGGGAGCCTGACTTCCCTCCAGAGCTTCTGCCCTCCGATGATGGCAGTTTGCTAGAATCAAGGATTGTGTTTGAGAAGGGTGACCAGGAAAATAAAAGCTCTACACAGGATGTTGCCTCTTTGAAGCATCAAGAGTATGCCACGACAGCTTGCACGGCAGCTATCCCCTGTGCTCTCTTTCCATCGGTCCCAGAGTCATTGTTGCCGCTGCACGTGGACGACCCACAGGCTGCCATGGGCATTGAGCAGCCAGAGCCCATGCAGCACACGGATGAGCTACAGGATCCCAAAAGCCAGATGAGAGCCTTTAGAGACCCTTTACAAGACGACACTGGATTGTATGTTACTGAGGAGGTTACCTCTTCAGAAGATAAACGGAAGACTTATTCTTTGGCCTTTAAGCAGGAATTGAAAGACGTGATCCTCTGTATCTCCCCAGTAATCACATTCCGGGAGCCCTTCCTTCTGACTGAAAAGGGGATGAGATGCCCTACACGAGATTATTTCGCAGAGCAGGTTTATTGGTCTCCTCTCCTCAATAAAGAGTTCAAAGAAATGGAGAGCAGACGGAAGAAGCAGCTGCTTAGGGATCTCTCCGGCCTTCAGGGCATGAATGGAAGCATTCAGGCCAAGTCTATTCAAGTCTTGCCCTCGCATGAGCTAGTGAGCACTAGAATTGCTGAGCATCTTGGGGATAGCCAGAGCTTGGGTAGAATGCTGGCTGATTATCGGGCCAGAGGAGGAAGAATTCAGCAGAAAAATGCAGACCCTTTTGCTTATTCAAAGGAAGCACCTGGTATGGCAAGCGGCAGATCAGGAAGCAAAATTGAAGGTGATGAAGAGAAAGGGTTGATTCCGAATGACACGCTGTGGTCAACAAAGGTGAGGCTGCTTTGGGTACACGTTTAGAACGTGTTGAAAAACTGGGCTGTGCATGTTTAAAAAAAAAACAAAACCACACAACTATGACAGATTGCAGATTTAGTAAATATTTCTTCGTATACTTTTTTTTTTTTTTTTTTGCCTTGAGTCTGTTGGCTTATGTATTGCTTTAAGTATGAAGTAGGAGTATCAGGTAATGAAACTGGGTTTTGAACTTTTCACGCTGAGCTCACAGTCAAGTATAGGAAGAGCTTTGCGGTAGGGGGAAGGGTGGAGCTAAGTAAAATTGTGGCAGGCTGACTTGGGTGTGGTGTGATGCGTCCTTGGTCCTTTGTGAGAGGGAGTGAGAGGGAAGGTTCCTGAAGAAAATGGATGTGTTTTTAGAAAATATCAGACATATTTATTTAGCATAAAACACTTCGTGTTATTTAACGGTGATCATGCCCTTACTCTTTTTAAGCAGAAATTGAGGGGAAATTAAGGAAGATTTGCTCATGGACACATTAGTAATAGTGTTAGTAATAAAACTAATGAAAAAATCCATCTAAATGAGGATATGAAATTGTTTAATAGAACAAATAAAAAGTTGTCTAATATCACTAGGAGTTGGGGAAGTGCTAAATAATAGCTATTTATTTGTGTGACACTATTTTCTGTGTGGTACACTAGTGTTTGTGAGATTGGCAAAAAAGGAAAGTGATCAGAGCCATGGTTAATGTGGTGTGGAAAAATACCTATAATAAATATTATGTAAATTTGTGTTTATATACATTTATGTAAATTTATAGAAAGTGATAGGGAGATCCTGAAAGTTTCCATGTACACGTATATTACCTATGGTCCAGGATTCCAATCTTTTATAACCTATTCTGCCAAAATAAGTAAGCATTTTATATAGGAATGCTTACATTTTGTAGGAATATATGCACAAGGATATTTGCTGAAGCCTTGTTTCTAGTTGTTTGCCGTAAAAAGGATGAGTTTGATCTCATTGAATAATCCAGATAGAGCCCATGATATATTACCAGGTGTTAAAAAGCAAGTAGTGTTGTATGAGGCATCCTCTCATCTTTATAAAAATAAAATCACCTGTGTATTCTTATGTGGGTGTTTTTGTGTATAAATGCATGTGAACTTGCAAAAAGAATGCATGGTTTTTAACCACAGGGTCAAAGTTCTCGCTTTGGGAGGTGGGATAACATCAAAGGAGGAGAGGCTTTATGTATTTCTTGAACTTCTTCATGTACCTCTGTACTGTTTTTCAAGAGAGCAAATGTTGCCTTCGTAAGGATCAAGAACAGGTATAAAGTACAAGTAAATAAATACCTGAGAATTTAGATTTCTCAGATCAGTGTTATATCCAGCCGTCAGTTCAGACTGTTTCATATGGCTCTAGGTCGTTAACTATTTACTTCCAAAATAATTTAATGCAGTTTTATAAGTAATAAAGAGTATCTAGGAAGACAAGCTATTTAGACATCTGTTTGTATTTTTAAGTTAACTTAACCTTTTGGATTGTTTTGCCTCAAAAATGAATGGCTCCTGTTCCTTATGTTAGTTTCTGGCAGTTTTCAGTCTTCTCTGGAACCTTACGGTGATGATGGGAGGCCTCACAAATCAAGGGGGATATGCCGGCTATTGGAAGCACGCATTGGGGTTGGAGTGTGGTTCGGCTTCTGGGTGCTCATCCTCTTCTCCTTTAGGTGGACTGTCTGAACCCTGTGAACCACCAGAGACTGTGCGTGCTCTTCAGCAGCTCTTCGGCCCAGTCCAGCAACGCCCCCAGTGCCTGCGTCAGCCCTTGGTAGGATGCTTCCTCTTGCACTGCTGCACCGTACTTCACAACAGAATCCCAGCAACTTAAAAAAAAATATAGCCATTAGGGTCTGTGTTTAGGTAAATGGCATGCTGCTGGTCTACATGAATTGATAGAACTTCTAAACTTGTGAACTAAATATGGAATTCGTATTTGTTCATGGGTAAGAAGTAAATGATGTGAAGGTAAGAGTGAGTAAGAGTGAAAAGGATGTGAGGGATGGAAGAGAAATTTGTACTTATAAAAGTGAGAAAGTTGATATATAAAAGCTGGTTTGCTTTTTTTTTTTGAAGGTTTTTTATTTTTAAGTAATCTCAGCACCCAACATGGGGCTCGAACTTATGACCCCGGAGATCAGGAGTTGCATGCTCCACCGACTGAGCCAGACAGGTGCCCCCATAAAAGCTAGTTTTAAGCATTTAGATGATAATGTACAATTTAGGCAGGTTTTCCGTAAGGCATCATTTTTGTAAAAGCAGTGGGTCTTTGGCCTTATTAACGGGTTTTATCCTAAAACTTAATTCTAAGTAGAATGATAGAAAAACATGTTATAATGTTATAAATTATTTGTTTAGAATGATATAATAGCCACAAAGACTGCTTATTATATAGTTTATCTTTCGTTTTAAGAGTACTGTGTACTTTTAAAAGCTTGTTTTTGGAGCACTGTTTCCATAACAAAATGTGTCCTGTATTTTAACTTTGGACTCCAGAAACGCCTTATTTCTACCAGTGAGATCAGGGATCTTCTGGAGTCCATGTAGCTCTAGCAGACTGACTTGGGGCTGGGGAACCCATAGAAGTTTTCTGTGGCAGTTTATGGACTCCTTAGATCAAGGCTTGAATAATTTAACAGTGCTATAGTCGAATTCTCTTATTTGTGGGCATTCATAAGTCAGGCATAACATCAGGAATTGGCTCCCCTGGAAGGATATGAGCTGCTGTTCTCCATGCTCAGTAAAGGTGTGGACCAGAGAACAGGAGACAGGAGTTGTATTTTATGGTGATAGGACATAAAGGCTTTGTAAAGGAAACTTTTACCTCTTCCTAGCTCACATCCATTTTAGTCGTTTATTATTATTGTTTATGCATCCTGATGTAGTTTGATAAGATACTAATGGACTGGGAGTGGATAAGGAGCTATAGTGTGGCTAGTCCAAACCTGTTTTATCCGATGAGGTTAACTCTGTTCTATAAGAACAACAGAACATTACATACTTTAGTACTACATTATAGGCATGTCTAGCAGGTAGTCAGTTTGTAGTCTCATGAAGTGTCTTGGCTGTGTGGTAATTCTTACGGCATGTTCCTAAGAAATATTGTCTTCTTTTAGGATTGTAACAATGGAATTTTATGGAAAGAATGATCTTACCTTAGGGATATTTTTAGAGAGATACTGTTTCAGGTAAGAACAAATTTTCTCCGTATGTCCCATGTATGCTTTTCTGATGCCCAGAATTTCAACCTAAAACATAAGCATGAGTTGGAGTTATTATGTGGCCTTCTCTATAATACCACATGTCAGAGTATACCATACAAAGAAGTAATTGATTTCATGTTCAACCCCGGGTTGTCTTATCTAGTTTATTCCTCAGATCTTTGAATATCTAAATACGCTGCGATCCCTAAGACTTTTTTTTTTAGGATGTCTGTCTTTACAGTGATTGAAATGAGAGGCTGGAGAAGCATGGAGATCAGCTAGACCTTAGTTTAAGTCTTAGTGCTATCACTTGCCATTTACATGACAAAGTGCAAGTAATTTTTACCAGCCCCCTATACAGGAATAACAAGCTCCAGAAATATCATGGGCTTCCATAGGTAAAATGAATTGATGTTTTCAAAATGCTAAGCAAATAGAAGGTGCTTAAGAAGCGGAAACTATCACTGAGCTGTAGTGGAAGACAGGATGCTCAGCTATAGGCTCCGAGTAGTGCGAGTGATACCCTGCACCGATCGTCCACCGGTCATCATTGCTCTAGAGAGGATACTGCACTTTCTGGACAGTGGTTCTGATTAGCGAGTATTCATTCTACACTGCTTCCAGTTTCATGGTTAATGTGAGGACTTTCTTTTTGTCAAAGGCCTTCTTACCAGTGCCCTAGCATGTTCTGTGATACCCCCATGGTGCATCATATTCGGCGGTTTGTCCATGGCCAAGGCTGTGTGCAGATAATCCTGAAGGAGTTGGATTCTCCAGTGCCTGGATATCAACATACAATTCTTACCTATTCCTGGTGCAGAATCTGCAAACAGGTAAATGTGCCCTGTTACTATAATATTTCATACATCATTTATTTCTTTATTTGTATAGTTCTTTTTGAAGGGGGTGGTCTATGTTATTTTGGTTTTGTTCATCATTGGGCCCTTATTTATTTTACCTTCCAGGGCTGGGTATTGCATTTGGTGTTTGTTTCTTTAAGGTTCCATTTTAGAGTTTATCAGTCATTAGGTAAAATATAGATACCTTGTTCAGTAAAATTATGGAGATTATATCTTGAAAATTATGTTTATTTATTCAGCAAACATGTATTTAGCACCATCTGTATGCCAGGGACTGTGTGAGGGCCTGGGCATGGCTCCTGTCCTTTAGTGGGAGAGACAGACTTGTAGTGTTGCACAATAATGATAGTATGCTAGGATGTTTCTGTCTGTTTGAGCCTATATCAACATTCCTATCTTAAGAGATCCAGCTGAGACCATGTTTAAATTGATTTCTTGAGAAAAAGACCTTGTGTTTTATTTCTTGTGTGTGCTTTTCTTTTTTCACTCTGGAGAAAGTACTTGGTTGACAATATTATGCTTTTAATATTTACTTCTTATCCAGATTGTTTGCAATGAACATATGCCAAGTTTAATAACTTCATTTGCTTATTTTGGAGTGTGCTTTTAGAAGGCAAGTATGAGAATGACAGATAAAATAATAGTGTGACCTGTATCAATGTCAGTGGTTGAGGAAGGCAAAATCAAAGTCTGTTCGTTCTGCGGTAGCAGAACATTACATTTCTTGTAATTATCTGTCTTTTTATACTTGTTCTTATAGGCCTTTTGTTCCTTCTAGACAGCGGGTAATATTTTGTTGTGGAATATGTGAACTTCCGTAGATTGAGCAGTGAATTAAATAAATAAATTAGATTTGTATATCTTACATGCCTTGGTGTATGTACTTTATTTTAAAACAAAAACTTTTGCCTTTGGGGTTATGTTAGAAAGGAAAAGGCAAACGGTTTTTGTTACACAAAAATGAAAGACTTCCTTGTGTCAAAAAAGTTATAACATGACCAAGTAGTAATATACTTAGTATTAAATTTCTGTAAGGCATGATAATAGAAAAAGGGCAAAAGGCATGACAAAAAGCAATTTAATAGAAATGACCAGTAGACATGTGCAAATAAATTTTGCTCAGTAGTCAGAGAAGTGTAAATAAAACCAGTGAAGTGCAGTTTTATTTTGTTTTGTTTTTAAGAAATTACACTTCAAAGATTTATAATTCCCGAGATTGGTAAGAAAGTAGGGAAATTGGTATTCTCAGATATTGTTGGAGATTGTGTAAACCAGTACACCAGTTTTTTTGTTTTTTAGAGATTTTATTTATTTACTTGAGAGAGAGAATGCAAGCGGTGGGGTGAGGGGGTTGGGGCAGAGGAAAAGGGAGAAGCACACTCCCTGCTAAGCAGGGAGCCTGACGTGGGGGGCTCGATCCCAGGATCGAGCTGAGCCTAAGGCAGACGCTTAAGGCAGACGCTTAACCGAGCCACCCAGGCACTTCCTAGTACCCCAGTTTTGGAAGAGAATGTGGCAAAAAGTATCAAAGACTGCATAAATGTTCATGCCGTTTGGCCTACCAATTCCTACTTTCCTTAATTTATTCCAAGGAAATAATTATGGATATTTGTGTGTGTGTGTGTGTGTGTGTGTGTGTACACACAAGAAAGTTCATCAGAGTATCATCAGAATAGAGAAAAAAAAAAACTTGTCATATCTTAAATGCACATCAGTAGGGATTGGCTAGATATGTCCATATAATGGGATACTCAATGGCTATTAAAAATCAAGTTGTATAAGAGTATTTTATGTGGGAAAATACTTATGATACATTGCTAAGTAAAAATAACACAAGACTATGAAACTAATTATAGGAAAGACTTTTTATGTACAAATATGCTGGCTGGATACCTTCTATGTGTTCATTTACATGTCTATGTGTGTATATATATATATATATATATATAAATATGCATACACATACATAGAAAGAAAGAAGATATACTAGTATATACTGATAAAATGATACTGCTCCCCCAGCCATCCCTAACTCTACCACTTTTAAACAATTCTTTCTTTTTCTACTTTTCTTCATTCAGAATATATTAGATTTGTACTAGAAAATAAATTATTTTTTAAAAAAGATTCTCAGTATGTGATTACATAACGAATGATTTATATGAATTTCAGGTAACACCAGTTGTTGCTCTTTCCAATGAGTCCTGGTCCATGTCATTTGCAAAGTACCTTGAACTTAGGTTTTATGGGCACCAGTACACTCGCAGAGCCAATGCTGAGCCGTGTGGTCACTCCATCCACCATGATTATCACCAGTATTTCTCCTATAATCAGATGGTGGCATCTTTCAGGTAAGAAGTCAGAGTGATCTTACACACGGTCACATACTCCCTGGAAGGCTTTGTGACATTTCTTCTGTAACTAGATGGAATTAATTTGTGGTGTGTTGTTCCCCAGCCCTACCATTTCAGATGCAGAGGGTCATACTCTGTGCTAAGAGCTTTCAGTGTTGTCATTTTATTTAATCCTTAATTTAAGAAGTAGGTATTATTATTATTACCCTCACTTTCGAGCTTATAGGTCACTGAGAGCTAGCAAGTGATAAAGTCATGATATGAACTAGTAGATCTGCTGCTCCAGGTGTTAATCTTAACCAGTTTTCTGCATGTAAGCATTTATTAGAGTTTTTGTTAAGACATTAACTAGCATAAGGTTAATTGGATATTCCAGGTAGAGCTAAAATCACGAGTTCACAGAATGGGTACACTGTGGTATTACATGATTTGAGAAAGCTTTCAGGCTCTGCCATCAAAATAGACCCAGAATCTGAGCACCTCTGACCGTCTCCGCCATTCCCGCTCTGGACTGAGCCTCTGTTGCCTTTCCCTAGAGGATCGCAGTGGCCTTAACCAGTCACCCTTGGGCTTGCCCCCTCAGTCTTATCTCAGCACGGCAGTCACAGTGGTTCCGTTAAACGAAAATCAGCTCAGGCCACGCCTCGGCTGCAGACTCTTCCATGGGTATCTGTTTTCTGTGAGCCGTTTATGGGCCTGTGAGCTCCTACATGCTCTGGCTGCTCAGTACCTCTCTGTTCTCACCTCCTGCTCCTGTCCCCTCACTTACTCCTGTCCCCTTACTGCAGCCTCGGTTATATCAGGCAGGATTCTGCCTGGGAGCCTTGTACTTGCTCTTCTCTCCCTGAACTGCCCGCCCCTCCCCAGCTATCTGCCTGCTTTTCCTGACTCACTACAGGTCTTTGTTTACATTTCCCTGCCCTGACGCCTCACCCCTAGCACTCCCTACTGCCCTTGCTTACTTTAGTTTTTTCTGGAGCACTTACCAGCTATTTGTTTTGTTTAATGCCTGAGTCTCCTTATTCCTGAATCACCAGGGCAGTAATTTTAGCTTTGTTTAGTGCTGTTTCCTCAGCACCTAAAACGACATCTGACACAACATAGGCCCTCAGGAAATACTGATAATTAGAGCTTATTTCCTTTTGGAGGCAAGAGCTTTAAACACTAATCTGCCGCCCCACATGGGTGATTAGCATTTATTAGACAACATAAACTCCTGGGTACAAAGGCTCATAAGGGACTCATGAGGAGTAAAGACTCGTGAGGAATCCTCAGGAGCTGGGAAGGTACTTCTAAGTGAACTGTAGGAAGGGGTTCCTCGCCTTCATAAAGGTTTATATCCCAGTCGTTGTGCTTTATATGCAGCCTCGGGATACATGATGATGCCACAGTACAGTGAAGAAACAAACAGGACAAAACCCTTCCAGAATTGGGGAGGATATTTATAATGGTTGAAAGTCGTCTTCAGTATTTTTATAATTGTTTTAAAATGCTGTTTTGTAGAAACTTTGTCTTGTACCTCATAAGATTTATGTTTCCCGCTACTCAAGATATTAAAATATTTTTTACTTTTTCTACTATTACTTGTATTTTTTTCTCTCAGTTATGCTCCCATTCGGCTTCTTGAAGTATGTGTTCCATTCCCCAAAATATTCATTAAACGTCAGGCCCCATTAAAAGTGTCCCTTCTTCAGGATCTAAAGGACTTCTTTCAAAAGTAAGTCTTAGTTTCTTTGATCATCTGTTTTTGTGTATATAGACATGTGTCTGTAATGTACACATATTTTAAAATATGAGGTTTGTTCATTTAGCTTTCTTTGAAAACATAACTATTTTTTTTCTAAATATATGTAACATATGCCCGATGTAAAAAAAAATGTAGACTGTATAAAAGTATAAAAAAGAAATCAAATCCTCTTAGACATAACAGCTGTTAAAATTTTGATGTACATCCTTTTAGGTCTTTTTTGTGTTGCAAACTTGTGTATGATTCTTAATTCAATAAAATAGAGTTTTGTGTGTGTCATTTTTCTATGTGAGATTAGAAAATTTAATTCCAACTTTTCTAAGGTGTTTAATGTTTGTTTTTATTAGAGTTTCACAGGTATATCTTGCTGTTGATGAAAGACTTGCGTCTTTGAAAACGGATACATTTAGCAAAACAAGAGAGGAAAAAATGGAAGATATCTTTGCACAAAAAGAGGTCATTCATTTCTTTAACAGAAGCTCAAAAGTTAACTATTAACTTATCAGAAGTTTCTTTTGGGGTGTGTCTCAGACGGCTGGAATTGTTTTTTTCCCTGTAGATGGAAGAAGGCGAATTCAAGAACTGGATCGAGAAGATGCAAGCAAGGCTCATGTGTTCCTCAGTAGACACCCCTCAGCAACTGCAGTCCATCTTCGAGTCCCTCATTGCTAAGAAGCAAAGTCTGTGCGAAGTGCTACAAGCTTGGAATACCAGGTGTGCTTTGCAGCCTGGTGTTTCTTGAATGTTTTTGCAAAATTTGCTCTGCCATGATTTTAATTTAGAGGACTTTATTAATTATGATATTACCTTTAATTCTCAAATTGTAGAAGTTATTATTTTCCTGCCACCACCTTTCCTTGATCATTTAAAACATATATGCTCATCTTTGGGTAGTTTGTGAAGATAAAAAAACCAGATGAGGGCAGCTTTCAGTGCTGTTTCAAATACTTAAGAGTGTGTGTGCTTATTGGGAATATAATATACCTGAATTAGTATTCCATGGTGTGATTATTGGTTTTTAGGCCAGGATTTTCAAGTATATTATTATGTGTGTCTTAGACCTTTATGTAAATTTTTATTGGGGGAAATATTTCCCTTTGATGCTTATTTAAAAGTTCAGTTAGATTATTATAGCATTTACTTATGGAGCATCAGCATTATGCTAGGCAGTGAGTAAGGCACTAGATAGACGTTCAGTCTTTTATTTGGTCTTATGACTCCTACAGTGTATATACTGTTTCCATTTCACAGAAGCTCTAAGAGTAAGGCATTTCCCTGAGCTGTATAGTTATTAATTGTCAGAGCTGGGTTTTGAGCTCAGGTCTGTTGGTCTCTAAAGCTCCTATTTTTTTGTTTGTTTGTTTTTGTTACATTATGCTGTCTCTTACAGTAACTTATTTTATAACTACAGTCATATCACACACAGCTCTTGATTAGTTAGCTAGAAATAAGACAGAAACTTATGTATAATTTTAATATCTATTGCAATCGGAATAGGAAAATCTAATTGTGGCTTCACAATTGTAAAGAGAACATTTTTAAGTATTATTCAGGATATTAGAAATAAACTATATTCTCTCCCCTCCCCGACCCTTTTATTATAGATTGCAGGACCTTTTCCAGCAGGAAAAGGGTAGAAAGCGACCTTCAGTTCCTCCAAGTCCTGGAAGACTGAGACAGGGGGAAGAAAGCAAGGTAAAGAAATGTCTTTGGTCTTTCACTGATATAAGTATTACAGTTAATTTCATTTAAGACACTTACAAATAGTAACTTAATACGTGGATTTAATAATATTAGATAGAGTCGTTCATTTTGCCGTTGTGAGGTTTCAAAGAGACATCACCTGGATTAATTTTTTATCTTGCTTGAAATAAAATTGTTCATTTCAAACATTTATCAAAAGCCACCGTCTGTAGGCATCACTGGAGATAGCGTCATGGAAAGGAGAAGTTGGGGATGCTCTGAGTATATAATAGAGTCCTAATTTATTTTACTATGTAGTTTTGTGTGTTCTTTATTTCTGTGCTTAAGTGGGAAGTTTTTCTTAAGGGACCTATCTATACTGGGTTAGTTCTGCACATTGATTTAATTGACTTTTCCTAACGATATTTTTGTCTTATTGCATAACAAATTACCACAAACTTTGTGATCTAACACACATGTTTATCCTTTTACATGGTCCAGGAGTCTGACACAGTAAGGCTGGAATCTCTGCTCAGTCTCACATAGCTTAAGTCAAGCTGTGTGACTTAAGCTCAGGGCCATTATCTTACTGAGGCTCAGGGTCATTTTCCAAGCTCATCCAGGTTGTTGGCAGAATTTAATTCCTACTGGTTATAGAACTGAGGTCCCATTTTTGTTGCTGGCAGTTGACCAGAGCTCATTCTCAACTCCTAGAGGCTGCCTGCATTTCTTGTTATGAGCCCCCTTTCATCTTCAAAGCTTACAACAATGCGTGCTTCAGATTTCCTAATTCCTCCCCTCTGACCTCTAGACACAGGTTTGAAGGACTTGTGTGGTTAGGTCACTACCTGGATAATCTCTCCCCATCTTAAAGTTAACCAATTTGGGACCTTAAATACATCTGCAGAATCCCTTCACAGCAGTATTTAGATTAGTGTTTAATTGAATAACTGGGGAAGGGGTGTGTGTATACCAGGGGGCAGGATCCTTGGGGGCCATCTTAGAAATCTTCCTATTATAAATGAACCATATTTTCAGGTAATTATTAATGCCAGTATAAGGGCTTAATATTTTTTTTTTAAGATTTATTTTATTTATTTTAGGGAGAGAGAGCGAGAGAGGGTGTGCAGGGGGCAGAGGGAGAGGGAGACACAGTCCCAAGCAGACTCCTCACTGAGCGCGGACCCCATTGCAGGGCTCGATCTCATGACCCAGAGATCACAACCTGAGCTGAAACCAAGAGTTGGACGCTCAACCAACTGTGCAACCCAGGCACCCCATAAACGCTTAATATACTGATATGATGGGGGACTTGGAAAGAATTTTTTTTTTTTTGTACAAGTGTATAGTATTGTAAAATGTGTTTTCATAGATGATAAATTCAAGTGCCTTAGATCTTGACGCTTCTCTTTTTTCTCAGAAACAACTGTGTAGGAATCACTTTTCCTTAAAGTTTAGGTGAAAGTAAGAGTAAGGGTTACCAAAGATGATTTGTACATTAGTATTTGCCATGTAATCTAGGTCCATTAATGGCTAACACAGACTGTTAGTGGCTTTTCCGTTTGCCCACTAAGAAACTGCAAAGCTAGTGGTGTAAGACATTTAATTGTAATATATAGACACAATTGAAAATACAAAATCATTTGGTAGAAGATCATCTTTTTGAAGGGTTGAAAGTTGATTTGAAAATCTGTAGCACTGCTTGTCTTTTCATTTGATAACTACTTTTTGCGTACTTTTAGTTCTGAGTACTAGAACTATTCTAGGTTCAGGGCATATAGTTCTGAACAAAGGCCCTAGTGGAACATATGTCTAATGCGGTGGAGACTGACAATAAACCAGTGAACAATAAACTTTTAAAAAACAAATGGGAAAAAGGCTGTGAAGAAAAAAATAAGGGAAATGGAGAGTATTGCCAAGGGAGTGGTTGGTGGTGGGTTATTTTATATAGGGTGGCCAGGGAGGTCTCTCTGGTATGGTGAGCAAATCTAAGAATGTTCTAAGTAGCCACCTAGAAATGACTTTGTAATCAAATTGTATACAGGGTTTATAGTGATTCGAAATATATCTTACCTATGGATAATGGGACTTGAATAAGTCCAGTGGATAATAAGAGATTAAGGGGTAATCATAAGTAGTTTTTAGATGCTTTAATGCTAGTGAGTGAGCTACTGTTTAGAGCATGATTCTCCAAGTGTAGTTCAAGGACCCCTGGGGGTTTAAGTCCCTTTCAAGGGCTCTGCATGATTTCCCTTTTTCAATTACGTATTTATGTGAGGCTAGATTTTCTTTATATTCTTCAATCATAATAATATAGCTCAACAGATTAAATGCAGAAGCCAAGGATGAATCTAGCTGTCTGCTAGACATTAAACTATTTGCAAAAGTGTAAAACAATGCCACTCTTACCATTTTTTTTTTTTTTTGGTAAATTGGTAATTTTTAATTTGAACATGTTATTTATGTTAACGTATAAGGGTTTATTATTTTTAAAATGAATTAATAAATGCATATTCTAAAACTTTCTCAGTTTTAATTTCTAATAAGGTAAAAATCAAAAGTTATAACCCACATAAAAGCTGAGTGTCTTAATAATTCTTAAGAAAATTTTAAAAGTGTGATTTTAATGTTTCCTTAAGAATAAAGTATTTACTTCTCTGCAGATAAGTTCGATGGATGCAGCACCAAGAAATATTTCTCCAGGGCTCCAAAATGGAGAAAAAGGTTGGTCCTTGAGTCTGGTGATCACTTGCTATTGGATTTAAAGAAATTTCTTAGTCTATAAGTTATTTCAGTGGCTAATTTTGAGAATTTTTTCTGATACAGTTCTAGACTTTTTTTTCCTTCTTGTAGAGTGTTGTAGCACTGTCAGTTTAAGATTTCATAAAGTATATTGCAAGAAAATAAATTAGGATATAGAAATACACGATATATAGAGATGGTTGCTGTTAGGGGAAAAGCAAAGAAAAAGAGGAAATTGAATTTTTGTTTTGCCTGTTCCAAAGTCAGCAGGTTTGACTGCAAAAACATTAGAAAGTTTAATTTATGTTTTTATGTTACTGAAATCTTTCCTAGACCTAAGCTGTCTTTCACAGTATTTCATTGAATGACTTGGTGCCACCCTAGAAAATTTGTAGCGAAATTTCCTTAGACTGTCTTTGTGGAATACGAGCTCAGCTCATAATTCTTGGCATTTTCTGTTATAATTAAGTGAACTTTCCCCCTGGGAATGAGCATGTGATTTTTTCCCCCGTAGTGTCCTGATTTTATTCCCTATTAAACTGAATGGACTAGTGTTTAGGTAGCTATTATGGCCTAATGGATAAGGATATTAGACAGGAATCAGACTTGGGTTACTGGTCACAGTGCTGTCGGTAGGACCTGACTGTGGTTAAGTCATATAACCTGTTTGGATATTTGTATCTGTTTCTAAAATATGTGCCAAAATGGCCTAATTTTTAGGAAGTTAAAATTCTTTGGTTTAGGAAGTAGAAATATAAGTTGGCATTTTAAAAACATTCCTATTAGGTAGACATGGGCTCAGCGTTTTTAAATGATTCACTCAAGTTTGTTTTTCTTTAGAGGATCGCTTCCTAACAACCCTGTCCAGTCAGAGCTCCACCAGTTCTACCCATCTCCAGTTGCCTACTCCACCAGAGGTCATGCCTGAACAGCTGGGGGGAGGGCCCCCTGAACTCGACACGACCAGCAGCTCTGAAGGTGCACTTGAAGTCACTTACTGTGCTTGATCCAGAAAAGGAGAGCACTGTGAATGCTTTGATACAATGCTTTCTTATCTCTCAGAGTTTGTAAATTTCATACTTGCTAGAAGTGCTGTGGGGGAGGGGGTGTGTGTGGGTGGTCAGTCCCTTAAGCGGCCGACTCTTGGTTTTGGCTCAGGTCATGAGGATCTCGGTCCTGGGATTGAGCCCCGAGTCGGGCTCTGCGCTCAGCTGGGAAGTCTGCTTGTGGATTCTCTCTCCCCTCTCCCTCTGCTGCTCCTTCCTCTTGGGCTCATGCACTCTCTCTTTTTCTCTATCTTTATATCTAAAATTAAAAAAAAAAAAGTGCTATTTTAGATATAGCTTTTTACCATATCACTTCTTCAGTTGCACTGCTTGACATATAAATATCTTAGTAACAGAATATTAGTCTGCTTCATCTGTGTTCTGGGGATATTACTTTCTTGAGTCCTGTAAAGTACATGGTTGTTGCCTTGTCAGAAAATGAGAGAAATTGCAGCCATTTCTCCAACAACAACTATTTATTTCACTAATAGCAAATTTATGCCTTGCTTCTCTCTTTCCTTGCTTTCTGTTTAAGCAGTAACTACTTAAGTAGTGTAAACTTTAAAAACTTTTAAATTGCAATTAAACTCTGTTGTAACGACCACAGCGCACATAACTGAGTTGAAGTGTTGATAGGAAGAGCAGTGGCTAAGTTCGTGCATGCTCAGGCAGTAATTACATCATGGCTGCTGCCCGGCCCCTGCAATGGGAAGCCATCGATTATAGCATGATGCCAATTTCAGAAAGGGTCAGATGTAGAACAAATAGTGTGCTCCTTGGAGTCACTGCTGTGTAGGCTTCACTATTGCTTCTTCTTTCATCCCCAAAGAGTCCTTATTCCTAGATCAGAAATTTTGTACCATAATTGGTAATTATGGTGTGCATATGTCTGTATTCCACACAAGAAATAATGTTGATACTTTCTACTTTTTTTTTTTTTTTTACTCTTCCTGAATATTAACATATAAGTAGCATATTTTTAATCCTAGATGTGTTTGATGGGCATTTGCTGGGATCCACAGACAGCCAAGTGAAAGAAAAATCAACCATGAAAGCCATCTTTGCAAATTTGCTTCCAGGAAATAGCTATAACCCTATTCCATTTCCTTTGTAAGTATTAATAAAAGTCAGTGGCTGTTGTTGCGTGGTTTTATTTTCACTTAATTTTAAAAACCTCTTTGTATAGATTTATTCTCTATGTATTTAAATATATTTATTTAACTATATATGTACTTTTCAGTCCTAAATTATACTTCATCATAGTAAAAGAGGTGTCTTTTGGTATAATATAATTTGTAGAATTATTATGTAGTAATCATCATCACATAGATGAGTGGATGAAAAAAGCATTAACTAATATTGCTTAATGCTTAAGATTAATGGTTCTGAAAATAATTGTTTATATACATATTTTTTAAAGATATACTGCTACATCTATTGATCCCATAATCATAGAAACATACTACTGTTGTATATGAAGATGACATTACTGATCTAATAACTTACTGGGATGTGGTACTTTTCTATCAGTGGTGATATATTACAGTGACCCATACAAGCTTTCATGTGATCCTGTATGGGGCTCTCTGAGTAGGAAAGAAAAGAGGCTGGCTTTGAGAGTGTGTTTTTTCCCCACTGGTTGATCTGTGTAGCCATCAAATGCTGCTCTTGTATGGTGGTACAAGTGTATCCAGAAGGTAGACATTTGGGGGCGCTTGGGTGGCTCAGTCGTTAGGCGTCTGCCTTCGGCTCGGGTCATGATTCCAGGTCCTGGGATCGAGGCCTGCATTGGGTTCCCTGCTCAGCGGGAGGCCTGCTTCTCCCTCTCCCACTCCCCCTGCTTGTGTTCCCTCTCTCGCTGTGTCTCTCTCTGTCAAATAAATAAATAAAATCTTAAAATAAGAGAAAAGTACTCTTTGTTACAAAAACAAAAGGTAGACATTTGTTAATAAGGACCTTTGTTCTTAACTGACTTTTGTATTTATTTATTCAGTCAATATTTAAATTTATTGAGTGCCAGCTCTAATGCCCAAGGATATGGAACAAGATTAATAAGGAAAATCACTGCTCTTGGGAGCTCAGTCTCAGGGAGGAGACGAGTAGAGATTCATAGATTCATAGTACCGTCTGTGAGGGTCCCTGTTTCCTCTACTTCAGACTCCAATATCACAGTATCTTGAGTGGGTTATTGTCCCTCCTGGTGTATGGCCTTTGCCCACGCCCTCACCTTCTTCTTTAGTCATTAACTCCTGTGAATTCTTTCTCAGATAAACTTCAGACCCTCCCGCTAGCTCCCTGCCCTAGCCAAATTAGGTCTCTTTGTTACAGGCTGTCATGTTTCCCTCCTGGTACTTATCACAGAAGGTGATTGTATTTATTTGTAGCATTATGGGTTTCTTTATCCCACTGTACTATAAACTCTACCATGCCTAATTTTTTCCACCTCTGTATTGTTAACATCTTGTGCAAGTTGTTAGGTGCTTAGTATTAGTTTTTCTTAATATTGTGTCTCTGGCTTGGTGGGCGCTCAGTATGTAGCTATTACACAGATGAATGAATGCTTCTCTAGGGGCCTGAGGGTAGAAGTCGGGATCAAGATTGGGGTTAAAATGGTCACACCATTGAGTTTCCATATGATAATAGGAGAGCAGCTGTGTTATATTATTTCTTGTTGGACTAATGGTATGTTTTCCACAATTTCTAGAAGACACATCTTTCAGGCTTGTAGTAGAACAAAATCTTTCATACTTCTGCTGTTCATTGTAAATACTTTCTGAGATGAACATGGCTCAAAGTTGGCAGCATGGAAAGCGTTGTTTGGAATAATTCCAGAACCCTCTGATTTGAAAACTACTTCTGACGATTTTCGATTGCCTTTAAAAACTTTCTGTCGATACATTTTCCTTTGGCTGTTTGGTTCATGTTCTGCATACATTTTGGTTTACTTAATTATCTTCTTATGATTGTGCCATATTTAGTTAACTTAAAATTGTCTTGAAATTTACTTATAATGTGTTAGTGGTTTGTATATATCATTTTCTGCTAATTTTGTTCTTACTGATTTATTTAAAAATTTTGAACAGTGATCCAGATAAACACTACTTAATGTATGAACATGAACGGGTGCCCATTGCGGTTTGTGAGAAGGAACCCAGCTCTATCATTGCTTTTGCTCTCAGGTATTATTCATGGAACTTTTTCACCTATGATTAGATCTTTATATCTTATGTGTATTTATTAATCACCTTATTGTTTAGATCTTTTATAGAGAGTAGAGCAGAATGATTATATATAAGCAAAAATATATATTCTTTGGGCGTGGTAGCTTGTTCTCTTTGTGTCTGAAAGTGTATTCTTTGCCCAAATAATAACAGGATGATTCTTAAGCAAGCTTCTACTAACTAAATTGACTAGGCAAGTGATTTACTTATCTTTATATCCTCTAAACATTCTATTATACTGTGTATCCATTGTATCCCTTCCTTATTACCTTTACTTGTTGATATAATAAAGCATCTTATACCATCTGAGTATCTTTTTATACTCTTTCTTTCCTTCCTGCTTCTCACACATAGCAGGGAAGGTTTTCTTACTAGAGTAATGCTGTTCCTACGCCTTAACCCACTTACATGCCCACAGTTACCATGTGTCTTAAAAAGCATCCTTCTTTAAAAATATTTATATCTTATATCTAAAAAGACAGTGCTTTTTAATCACAACGATATCTTGGTAGTGGTAGAACTTAAAGTATAATCTAAGATGTTTAATTAAAAAATTTTTTTTCTGTTGGAAAGCATTGAAATGTAAATTTTTCTTTTTATATATTGGTTGCAAGGAGCCTGCTTATTCAACAAATATTTGAATATCTACAATATGTGGTATAGTAGGTATTGGATTTATAGGAATAAACAAGATAGATTTATATGCCTTAGCATTTATGAAGTTTAGAGTTTACTCTTTGGATTATGAGGAATTTCTTTCCTTTAGGAGATTCTGTGGGATATATTTTTTTTGTTTTTGCCTTTTGGCCTTTAGGAAGTTAATATTTGTTTTTTTTATTGCTTAGTCATACTACATTAATAGATAAGAAAGGTAGGAAAGCCAACCAAATAAAAAATTTCTTATGTACTGTTAGGAATTGAGCATTCCAGTAGAAATCACTTTCTTCTAATGTCTTGGAAAAATAATACATGCTTCTCTTGTTCCCTGACATCTGATATATCTAAATCAGGGCTCTCAGACTGCTGGTCCAAGAGTTGGATTTTTTCCTTAAAGTTCAGCACCTTTAAATAGAAGAGCATTCTCAAGTTCCTTTTCTCGCTGTTATATTATACTAAAGTCTGAAGTTTTATACTTTAAATTACCTGTTCTCTCCCTGAAGATATTTAGTCTAAATGTTAATACCTAGACTTTCACAGTCATTGTTTAGGATATTGATACTGGTTGGTGTGTTGGGTTGTATTTTGCAACATTATCTGTGAAGATGACCTTCTTCATGAAGCTTCTACTTAATAACTTTTGTTAGTTGACTCAAATATGTTTAATTATGGACACATAAAATGATTGTATTTCTGTAATGCAGAGCTTATTCTAAAGCATATGATTTATTTTGAAGAGAAGCTTAATGTTTAACATTTTTCAACCTATCTCTACCCTAAGTTGTAAAGAATACCGAAATGCCTTAGAGGAATTGTCCAAAGTGACTCAGCGGAGCAGTGCCGAAGAAGGGCTTCCGACAAATAGGTGATCCATGATTGAGTAGAATTTACTTCATTTGGCTATGTCATCATTTTTTAAATGCTCATTCTTCAATTTTATTATTGCAAATTATCAGTGTGACAGTTGCTAGGATACTGACAGTGGCACTCAGAACTTTAGCCAACAATTGACAGAACAAAATTCAAGTATAGCAAAAGGCCTTAAATGGTGCCTTTGGATATAGTTTTCTGATAATTGCCATAGAAGTTCAGTGTATGTTGCAGACTTAAACTTTCAACGTTTTAAATTGTCCTTGTTTCATTTAAAAAATAGTAACTTTGGAAATTAGTAACCCATTGCTTTACTTTGTAACTTAAAGTATTTGTGAATTTTCCATAATATTAAAGATCCCAAATAGTTTAAAAACAAAACAAAACCCCCAACCAGTTAGTTCTTTTAGTATGTTCAGTATTTTAGACATTTAGACAGAAATTGTCATAGGCTCATTATTTTGATTCTTACTGAAGTAGGTTTTCCACCTTCACTACTGTGACAGCATTCGATCTGGATTTATTTATTATCATGGTAACTAGCCTGAGAAATATGAAATTGGTATTTTCTGTAATCGTTTGAATTACAGGTACTAAGATAGCTCTAATGAATTTGGGGAAATACTACAAAAGCCTCTGCTTTCACGTATTTTCCGGACACTTTTATATTTATAACATTTCGCTTTTTCTTAAGTCCAGTAGGCATTTCAAGACTTTTTCTTCTGTGTTATAACCTGTGTTTACATAAATTATGAATCAGATTTCAGATACGGTGGGTGGAATTAGGTGGGGAATAGATTAATGCAGGAATAATTTTCTGTCCGAATTGTATGAAATTAACTTTTCCTTTTGTTTTTTGTTTAGTACTTTAGACAGCAGACCAAAGAGTAGCAGCCCTATTAGATTACCTGAGGTCAGTGGAGGACAGACAAACCGTACAGCAGAAGCAGACCTGCAGCAGCCAAGTAAGATTATACATGGAGGAGTACTTATTAGTTTTATTTGTAATTATGTTTGAAGAAGAAAACAATAAATAAGAAATGCCAGCTGGCAAGAATTTATTACTTCTGGTCTTTACAAAAAAATTTTTGTATGTCCCCTTTTTAAATATTTTGCTTTTCCTTGATCTTTACCTTATTATTGGATTTGAAAACTTCTAGAAACTTGTAGGTCTATGCAAAAAGAAAAAGAATCTGCCTTTTTAGAATTTTCAGTTTAAAGTATATAAGCTAAGGAGACATTTTTTTTTTAAGATTTTATTTATTTATTAGAGAGAGCACGAGCAGAGGGAGGGGGAGAGGGAGAGGGAGAAGCAGAAGCAGAAGCAGGCTTCCCACTGAGCAGGGAGCCCACCCAGGACCCTGGGATCATGACCTGAGCTGAAGGCAGATGCTTAATCGACTGAGCCACCCAGACGCTCTAAGAGAGACTTCTTAAAAAAGTTTTTACAGTATTGTTGGCATTGTGAAAAGAATTTTTCATGTGTCATGTCCTTTAATCCCCACAATAACCACAAAGGAGTTATTTGACATATCCCCATTTTTTAAAAAGAAAGTAAGACTTAAGTAGCTTGCTCAAGATTACAGAGGTAGTGGAAGCTAGGATTTGAACATAGGTCTCTTTGACTTTGTCAGGAATGTATTCACTACAAACAACAGAAAACTCAAGTGACTATTGGGGCTTAAATAAATGACAGGGTATTTTTCTAAAATAGCAATGTCCAGAGGCAGGTGGTTGCTGGCATTGGTCCAGCTAGTCAGCATTGTCATGACAAGAGAGGGGTAGTTTCTCACGATTCTGTTAAGTTTTCCTCATGATCAGAATGTTCCATTTCAGGTCTCCATTTGAAGCAGAAAGAAGGGAGGTAGCTGCAAGCTGCAGCTATTTCCTTTAATTAGGCATGCAGAGGCTTCTCCTTTAGTCTCCTTGGCTGGAACTGAGTCTCAGGGTCACCCCTCCCTGCAAGGGAGACTGAGATTGTAGTGACCAGCTCTGCCCTAGTTGCTTATACAAGTCGTGATTTATATTTTAGGGCTCTCCACATTGCTGCCCCACACAAAACTGCAGTTCTTTCAGCAAGGAACAAGGTGGGCTTGGGTATTAAGGACGTCATAATGGTGTCTGCCACCCTAACTAAGCACTTTATGAGTGACATTTTATGTGGATTTTGTAGATGGTAAATGTATGAAATTAGAGTCATGTATGCTAATGAGTTCATAGATCACACACAGATGATGTATATATATATATATACACTAATCTCAAAACTAAGAATGAAAGTATAGAGTAAGCTTTAGTAATATTTTTGGCCGTCTTATACAAATTTCTGAAAAATGCTGAAAACATCTTAGATTTTGCTGTGTTAAAATGTAGGAACATAAATGATATAGAGATGTTACTTTTAACTCTGAATTCTTGTAGATCATAGTATTGCTTTGTGTTAGTTTAATTAACTATTGTAATATTATAAGAATTTAGCCCTAAATTTTGTTGCTTAAGATATCATGACTGCTGGGATGCCTGGGTGGCTCCGTTGGTTAAGCGTCTCTTGGTTTCAGCTCAGGTCATGATCTCATAGGTTGTGGGATCGAGCCCCGCTTTGGGCTCCATGCGCAGTGGGGAATCTGCTTGAGATTCTCTACCTCTGTCCCTCTCTGCTTTGGCACATGCATGCGCTTTCTCTCTCTGTCAAATAAATAAATAAATCTTTTTTAAAAAAGATTATGACTGCCATGTAAAGTAATTTTTGAAAGATTTTCTATAGAATTTCTCACATTTTGATATACAGCTACCTGAACATTGCTTTTCTTTTATATTTCTGATAATGAAAGTGCTTGACTAATAACCCCTCCCCAGGCCCCATAAAACATGTGGAATGATAGTCTGTGCAAATGAAAGTATCAGTGTGACTCATATTTATTACCCTCATATAATGGTTACTGCTAACAAAAGAATGAGTTGAAAATCTTTATTTTTTCACCTGCAGTGACCTGTACTTAATATGTTACCTTTTATTTTTAGCCAAAAAGGCTTCTGGAATGCTGTCCTTCTTCCGAGGGACAGCAGGGAAAAGCCCTGATCTCTCTTCCCAGAAGAGAGAGACCTTACGTGGAGCAGATAGTGCTTACTACCAGGTTGGGCAGACGGGCAAGGAGGGAACGGAGAGTCAAGGCATTGAGCCTCAAGGTGTGTTAAAGGAGACCAAATGTGCTTATTTTACTTGCTTGTGTCCTTTATAGCCTTGAGTAGATAATTCTTACTGCCCAAACCAGGGCGTTGGCTCTCTTCTCATGCCTCAGTATGGCAGCGTGGAAAAAGCATGGTGCTTATAGAGTCCGACTGGCTTTAGCTGTCATTGCTATCACTTACTCTGTGGTAGAATCAGAAAGCCTTAGTTTCCATACCTGTAAAGTGGCAAAAGCAATGTCTTCCATGGTTTCCTGGGGACTAAGTGACATTAAACATGTAAAACATCAATCTCACCTTGTAACTCGCAGTTACATACTCAGATGTTTTCATTCCACTACCCCCTCAGACATTTCCTTTCTTTCCCAGTCTCTGTAGGGTTGAGGGCATTGATGTCTACCTTCATTTTGATATTTAAAAGTATGTCTACCTGATTGTGTTTGAATATGGGGTTAGACCAGGCATCAGCAAACTGTGCTGACCTGTTTTGTAAATAAAGTTGTATTGGAGCATAAGCACGCCCATTCATTTACTAATTGGCTGCTTTCGTGTCATATTGATAAGTTGGATAGTTATGACTGAATAAAATACTTACCATCTGGCCCTTTACAGAAATAGTTTGGCAACCCCTGGGTTAGATCATGAATTAGTAGTCTAAAAGGAAGTGTAATAAATTTTCATTAGTAATTAAGATATCATCTTAAGTATTCTATAGACTTCTGTTGGGCTGTAATCCTTGGAAGACATTGGTGCTTTGAAAAAAATAATTTAGAAATGTGAAACATGGAAGATCACTTCTTCTAGCTATTGAAATATATTCCAAATTTGTAATAGAGTGCATCTAGCCATAGGTATGCCACACAAATCAAATATAAAGAATAGCTCTGAAGTAGATACTAGTATATTTTATGTATTTTATAAGACAAAGCATCTCAAGCTGTTGGAGAATCATTTTTCCACACACAGGGAAAATGGTCATAAACTGATAAAGAAGTAATGGAAACTTGATGTAAGAGCTGAGTTAGCATATTGTTTTGTTTTTTCATCTGTATTCTTTTCTTTTTATTTAAAATCAATTAACATATAGCATATTATTAGTTTCAGAGGTAGAGTTTAATGAGAGTTAGTATATTGTTATCAGAGGAATCAAATATAAGAAAAGTTATTCTTCAACCTGAATTGTTTTTCATCTGAAAACTGCTCTTTCAAAAGGTACTTATATTTTTGTAATAGTTTATAAAGTTTAATTATGCACATAATGCTTCTCGAGAGTGACTTGACCAGGATAACAAGAATTGACTTGTTAGTTTTTATTGTTATGTCAGGGGAGGAAAGAACAGACAAAATGAACTGATAACCCATTGAAAACTTTGACTTTATTAATGATGTTAAACTTTTTAGATGAGGTGGATGGAGGAGATACACAAAAGAAACAACTCATAAATCCGCATGTGGAGCTTCGTAAGTATGCGATAAAATAATGTTGGTTCAGGGATAGCAACTGTAATTGAGAAAACTGTTAATTAAGGCTTCTAGCTTATTCTAGATAAATGTCCTGTTTCTTGGAATGAATATTAAGTCTGTGTGCTGACATAAGTTTTATTTAATCTAGATTTAGCTTATAAAATAAACATTTAATGTATAAAGAAATTTAATTTAAATTATGTTTTAATTTATAAGGTATAATTTGACTTAATATCTAATGTTTAAATAATTATTGTGTAATCTAGAGCCACAGAGCCTTGACCAGATGTCTAGAATTGTGTGTGTGTGTGGGGGGGGGTGCTAAAAATTTATCATCCAGAATAATAAGTACAGTAAAATTTAAGATGTAAAATTATGATGAAAGTACAGTAACCAGTATAAAATTAGAAATGGGTCTTATTTTCTGTTTGATTTTTCTGTAAGGTTATAAGATGCTTTTCGGTCTTACCCGAGAATCATTTTAACAGAACTTTGACAAACAAGGGTGTAAACTTAACCTGAGAAATGCTATCTTGGAGAAAATGAAATGGTCAAATTTGTTGGGCATGGGAAATGGGCAGGAAGGAAGAGAGATTTCTGATTCATAAAAGGCCCCCCCCCTTTTAAAAATACTTCCTTTTATAGAATTTTCTGACGCAAATGCTAAGTTTTACTGTCGCCTGTACTATGCGGGAGAGTTTCATAAGATGCGTGAAGTGATTCTGGGCAGCAGTGAAGAAGATTTCATTCGCTCTCTTTCCCACTCCTCGCCCTGGCAGGCCCGTGGGGGCAAATCAGGAGCTGCCTTCTATGCAACTGAGGGTAAGCCTTTTTAGTTACTCACTGACTGAGTAGTAGCCATCTTTTCCCCTCAGATAATCTGTGAATCCCTTGAACTGAGGTGGTATGATATGGTCAATTGGCAAACAAAGTTTTCTGTTTTTCTGTTTGAGAGTATGTAATAACAATATTTAAAAGAATATACATGTATATGGTGTGCAGTTAGAGACAGACATTGATCTGATCCTTACTAAACTCTCTCTGGTCCTGACTTCGACAAATTGGAAGACTCACAAGGCTTCCTCAGAGCTGATGAGACAAAGATAAAAATATAAATACTTAAACTGAAAATAGGAAGGCTAGGTTCTTCACCTACAAAGGTTTACAGAAGATGATGACCATTTGTACGTCATATTCCATTCTCCATACCCTGAAAACAAAATTATCTGAGAAAATGCAGCAGGAAGGATGTTGCTTAATAAGAGCTTTCATAACTGTGACTTACTGCATTGTTAACAAAGGAGTCTATAAAACTTTACTTAGTAATTATCTAGCTATGAATTTCGGTCTGGTACTGTCAAAGGTAGAGGCTTCTTGACTATATAATCCTCAGGAACCCTTTGAGCCCTCAATTACTTGAGAACTATGTTCTGATGAAAATTTTCTCTGTGACATCAGAAAATCTCCCTTAAAGCCATGAAGCAAACACATCACTTGGGATCTTTGGAATGATGTATTATAGATTACCTCAGGAAATCCTGTGACTGAATAAACACATACGACACTTCTGCCTTTTAGATGATAGATTCATTTTGAAGCAGATGCCTCGTCTGGAAGTCCAGTCTTTCCTCGACTTTGCACCGCACTACTTCAATTATATTACAAATGCTGTTCAACAAAAGGTAGAAATCCCAAACCTTGGTCCGTAATTAGAATTTTCTGGGCTTTTTCACCTCCTCAGAGTCCCAGTGGCAGTTTTTTCCATGCTAAGATAGGTACGGGACGTGACTGGATCTCTGTTATGTTATTGAGGTGTGATAGAATGCACTCATTTCATACTCTCCTTCCGGCCTTTGCCAGTGAGGAGCCAAGAGATCGCCAGCAGATTGCATTTAATGAGTGTGTGCGTGCGTGCGTGTGTGTAGAAACATTAAGATTGGATGAAAAGGGCTGCACGTTATAATTTGTAAGTTTCTTGAGACAAAACTGGGAAATATTTGTTGAGACCTGAGTGTCTGGGTCCTTAAGTAGAAAGGAAGCCAGTGGCTCAGTCAGGTTTGCCCGCTTGACATTTAGCAATGCTCCTCACAGTAAGTGTATAAAGGAGTCATAAAGATTTTTTTTTTCCCATTTAAGGTTTATTGCATATTTGGGGGGAAATTACATGTCATAATAAAATTTGTGATTTTGAGAAATTATAAAGCCTTATCCTTTGGGAGAATATGAAGGATCTAAGATTTTTATTAGCATTGCTGTTTTGCTTTTTACTTACTCCTGAGATTCAAGGGTTTAAGTTTCTTTCAAAGTTCTTTGGTCATATTAATAGAAAATTGTGTTTGGATAGTACATGGATAATCCAGATATGGGTATTAAATTACAAATGAATTTACTTTCATCTTTTCTTGATTAGAGGCCCACTGCATTGGCCAAAATTCTTGGAGTTTATAGAATTGGTTATAAGAATTCTCAGAACAACACTGAGAAGAAGTTAGATCTCCTTGTCATGGAAAATCTTTTCTATGGGAGAAAGATGGCACAGGTAAGGATATTGAACCATTTAGCTACTGGAACCTTTTGCACTTCTGGTTCCTGAATATAAAGAATCAGAGAATAACATCTTATTTGATAGTATTAAACCTCGGTTGCTAGGCCAAAGTTAACTTTGGAATTGTTGAACCCTATAGGAAAGACTAAAGAAGAATATTGTAGACTGGTCTTAAAATTTAACCTGTCCAGTATCCTAGAAACACAGAATTCTAGGATTAGAAGACAGATCTGTTCCTACCATCTCAGTTTTAAAGATGAAGAAACTAAGACATAAAAAAATTAAGTTTATGACAGTCACACAGATATTCCAAGAGCTCAGGTTGTTTTAGATTCTAGAACAGTACCTTTCAGAGTGTTGGTCCTTGAACTATTTCCAGTCTATGGGGAGATAAGGAGCTTACACTAGAATGTATTTCTTCATTGAGAGTGTCTTGCTATGCTGAATGAAAGAGCGTGCTTAGTGATGTAATTGTTTTACATTCTGGCACTAGCTCCTTATGTCACTGTGAGCCAGGAATAGTTGCCTAGCATTCGTCTGTAGAATACACTTCCTGTTGCACTGGTCGAGGACCTAAGTCCCCTGACCTTTGAGTGTGTGGCTTTTAGCATCCCCAGCATTTCTAGAGAGATGCAGTTGCTTCTACATTGCCATAGTATTGAATGGAGTTTTGGTACCAAAACTCTAAGTTTCCTAAAACTCTTTGTATCTAGTTTTTAAACTGCTTTATGATCCAGTGATATATTTTTGGAGTTATTTGTTAATGTTTCTTAAAGTTGATTAAGTGGGTTAATGTATTCCTGAAGTGTTTGAGTAACTGAGTACCTAGGTGTTAATTTTCAATGATGAATCCTATCACCATCTACTTTATGTATTGCACAATTATAATGCATGCATTATATATAATTTTATATATAATATATAAGTGATATGTTTAATATATTTATGTAAGTTATGATTAAGTTTTAAAATTAAATTTAAAAGTATACGTGATGATATGGGCTACAAGGAATTTTTTTGCATTTCCAATTTAATTACATTAATTAATTATGCAACTCATGCATAAATGACAGAAACTTTTCTTTCTGCTAGGTTTTTGATTTGAAGGGTTCACTTCGGAATAGAAATGTAAAAACCGATACCGGAAAAGAGAGTTGTGATGTGGTCTTGCTGGATGAAAATCTCTTAAAGATGGTTCGAGACAACCCTTTGTATATCCGTTCTCATTCCAAAGCCGTGCTGAGAGCCTCGATCCGTAGTGACTCCCATTTTCTTTCTAGCCACCTCATTATAGATTATTCTTTGCTGGTTGGGCGAGATGATACTAGCAATGAGCTAGTAGTTGGAATTATAGGTAAGTCAGTAAGCATATGCTACTTATAGTTCATTATTGAAGCCAGAGTAAATTTGAAGGTTATACTGAACCTGGTTTAGTCATAGCTTATTAAATATTTTCACCAACTTTGATTTGGAAATTCAACAATAGCTTTTAAATTCTAGTTACCTTCTATTTCAGTGTCATTTCATTTCATTATCTTTACCAAAAATACCTGTATTCAAGAAGTTACTCATAAAGGAAGCCCTGTGAAGTTGTTAGGAGGATTAAAAGAATTAATATGGAAAAAACCCTTGGGACTGTGTCTGGCAATGTTGTTAACATTCAGTAAACACTGGAGAAGTAATAGTAATTACTGTTAATCTTATATTTACTAACATAGCTGTACTGCTAATCTTCCCTCCTGGAACAGATTATATTCGAACATTTACATGGGACAAAAAGCTTGAGATGGTTGTGAAATCAACAGGAATTTTAGGAGGACAAGGTGAGCAGAATTTTTGTTTATTCTTTAAACTGTTCTCATGTCTTCCTTATCAATTAACATTTAAAAAATGGGTACTTTTTAAATTCTAAAAAAGTAATTGGTCATCTCTGATTTTATCATTTCCAAAATGATCAGATAATAAAGGGAATTGCAGAGGTGGGGAAATAATTGGTTTAAAGTTGTGTTAAAATACCAGAATGAAAAGTTACCCAAAAAAGGCCAGATATTCTGAGTAAGAGGTTGTTTTTAATTAACACTTGAAATCTTCTAAGTTCTCCAAGCGCTTCTAGCTCCATTTGTGCTTTCATACATTTCTCATCTCTAGGCAAGAGCTAGGCTCGCATTTTTAGAGTAGGGGGCGGGGAAGGGGACAGGGGCAGAGGGAAATGGGGAGATAATCTTAAGCAGGCTCCACACTCAGTGCAGAACCTGACTCGGAGCTCGATGTCAGGACCCTAATAACATGACCTGAGCCAAAATCACCGGCTGCGCCACCCAGGTGACCCAAGAGCTAGTCTTTTAAAATGGAAACCCCTCTCAGGAAGGCCCTGTCCCATGTTGTGTGGCACAGTGGACACCGCTACCTCTTTTCTGAGGTGTGTGTGTGTGTGTGTCTTTATGGCAGTTGTCATGAAAGAACATAGCTATTCAGGTCAGCTGCTGATCAACTCTGTAACAGCTTTTTCCCTTTGCTCTTTCATAATCTTAGGTAAAATGCCAACTGTGGTCTCTCCAGAGTTGTACAGGACTAGATTTTGTGAAGCAATGGACAAGTATTTCCTGATGGTACCAGACCACTGGACAGGTTTAGGTCTGAACTGCTGAAAGGGAGCACATGGTTTTGAAATGGACCATGAATGAAAGGGGCCTGGACCAAAGGACCAAAAATAAGCTACCTGTTTTATTTCTTCATCATGTTCACCACTGTATGCCAAGGCCTTCCCATCCTCCAGTCGTGTGGACTGTCTGTAATTGAAGGGTCAAAACGCCGTGGATTTGCACTTTGGTGTTTGATACCTACAAGTTAGCTATCTTATGCTGGGAAGTTGCGTGAACATTCTTCCACTTAAGCTAAACTATAGATACATTTCAAAGGGCTAAAGACGAATGTATGGTCAGAGATGAGGAGATAGGGTGAAAAAATGGGGTGTCAGATTTGTTAACAGTCCTGTTAAGAAAATAATGCTTCCTAGATCGTGGCTTTCCCAGCATCCCATTTGACACATTCTTTACTTAGCATTTGTAGAGCTGGTGAATTTGTTTTGTGTTTCTTATGTAACAATGTAATGTCGCCTATTATCAGAATTTGTGAAACCTTTAAAAATTCTGAATTATTCTCTTAATGGCCAGTGAAACAGATGGACCCAGTCTGTTCTTGTTTTATTGAGGAATTTGACTTAAATAGGGAATCCTGTCGTGTTCTTACTTTGCCTTGTTTTTGAGGGTGCTTGATGTTTTTTAAGTTCTGTCTTCTCTGTGGGTGACAGGAGACTCTAGCCATTAATGTAAGCCTTTTGGAACTGTTTTTTAAGCTTATTTATAACTTTTGTGCAATTAATAGGTTAAATTGCACTTATCCACACATGCTCATACTCTAGGTTTTCTTCTGCTTTCAGGGAAACAGTAAATGAGTCTATCATGACTAACTTCCCAAAGGGAGAATTACTGAGGATTTTTTTTTTAACGGAAAAAATAAATTAGACCTTATCCAAGAAGTTGGGTAAGAGGTAAACACTTGCTTGTTTTTCTGTAAAGGTAAAGTGTCTTTTTCAATATAAATAGCAATTTAAGTGACATCTGTAAAACTAAGAGGTTTCTAGTGTGGACATCCGTTTCTTAACTTTCTGTACCAGTTTCTAAGCCAGTTCTGATTAGTGAGAAATGTTAAGGATAAAATATTTGTAGTAAGGAACTTCTTGTTTAATAGAGTTTTTGTTTAAAAGTGATCAGATACAGTACTAAACTGACTTTGAGGATGTAACAGAACACCAAATATTGCCTCGTGCTGCTTTTGCCAACAAGGGTAATTGGATTTATAAAGTTTTATAAAGTTTTCCTCTTTTCAGGCTTCCTATAATAGCACATTTCTGTTGTAACTTTCACAAAATAAGAAAAAGAAATCTGGGTACATTCCAGTTACAAAGACTTAAGTATGTGAAATAGGAACATTTTGGAAAGTTTGCTTTAGAGAACGAAAGCATTAGTTTGGTGTTTGGTGCTTATTGGGCATGTGGTTTGTTTTGAACTAGAAACAAGTTGGCCAAGGACTTAGGACTGATGATAAGCACTTTTTAAAAAAAATGTGGTGTGCCTTCTGAAAATGCACAGAACACTAGTGGTTTTAATTTTGATATTACAGACTGGAAAAGGATGGGTTCCTGCAGGAATGAAACGTGTGGGTGGAACCTAACTTCTCGTGAGTCCAGAACAATGGATTTTGCATCTCCTTTTGAATGTAAACACTGTTTTGTCTCTGTTCTTTCTTTCAGGCAGGATACTTAGGGTTATTTACCTGTCCATTTCCTGCACCCTCAGTCATGCACACCGCAGGAGAAGTTAGCTTTCCTTCACTGTGATCAGGTTGCTTCTTTCTTTGTTTTCGTCTCAACACCCTGCTATGTATAGCTTGGATCCATCACTGGAATAATTCCTGACAGTAGTATGTGTCATGTTGATTTTGTTTTCCTTGCCCATGACTTGAAGAACTATTTTTTAAAGCACTGCTGCCTCCTAGGTGATTTTATGGCTAAAAAAATTCCAGTATAATATCATCTGAAGCAATACTTGCAGGGGTGATCTGTCCTTTTAAAACTGTCTTAATGAAAGGGAAATGAACTTGTGAGTGGTGGAACTATATCCTCAGCCCCGGCTGCTTTTGTTGAGGTCACTACCATATGTATATATAAGGCGTTTCCAATATTGTGCTCCTTGGTGTTAAGCATTGAATGACCACTCACCTCTCTTGAATTCCCTTCCTTGGCTTGGAGAATATTGATGTTGAAAAGTTAAGACTGAGGAAGAAATCTTAATGCTTTGTTCCTTAGAATAAGATATGAATCCTGAGAATAACTGATAGTAGCACAAGAAAACTCTGTGAATGTGTTGCATTGTATAAAAATCTTATTTATAAATGTGAAGGTTTTTGATGCCATCAAGACTTCATGGAAAAATAAAAAAGATTTACTTTTTTCTTATCCAAGTCTGAGAATAAGGGTAATTGGCTATTGCAGGCCCTTTTGTAGTCTGTTGAATAAATTTATAGACATTGAAAATTTCCTACAAAAAGTGCTGCTTACAATTTTTTCCTCGATCCAGCAGTGAGTGGTTTTCTAGCTTTGGCTTTTATTGGGTATTGTAAATAGGTTTGTATTGGTTTTGGTGGAGTCAGTGTCTTGTTGGCATTTTACCCATTAGCAGTGGGCTTGTATAAAACTGCCAAGGAAAAGTCATCTACTAGAAAGTTTGCTTAGCTAGCAGAATGAAAACTCTTGTGAATGAGCCTCGTGGTAAAATAGGTCAGGCCATTCATTATTCCTCAAGTATTAACATACTGACTTACGCAGTATTCAAACCATCTAGTGCAATGCCTTTTTGTTTGTTTTTGTAACACGGGTGCAGTGTATTATAGAAAAACAAAAATTACAATCATGAGCAGTTTTATTAATGCTGCTGTGCTGGTTTTGTAAAAAAAATGTACATTATGTCTTTTGACAGGTTTAATTTTAACTAGAGAAATGACATTGTAAATCATAATATCCTCTTTTAATTTAATATGAAGAATTCAACTAACAATATTGAAAATACTTAATGTATTATATTGTATATATTTCTCTACTTTGGTTCTAGCTGTTTTATATGATTGACATGTTATTTAAGAGATAAAACTGCCTTGACCTTTTGGAGACTTATACTGTAAATAAAGAAGGCTTACAATAAACTGAGAATCAGCTTCACTTCGTTTTGGATCAGCTTGAGGAAATTAACAAGGGGAGATGGAGTTTGGTGCCCAAGCCTCGCCCCTCGCCCCCGAAGCATTGCCTTCTGTTCATTCTCTTACCCTTCAGTTTCCCCACCAGAGAATTTAAGTCTTTCACTAGTAAATGGCCTTAAGTCCCCGAAAAGGAGGTCTTAAATCTGTGTGTTCGCTTCTGCCAGTAATGGGTTCACCTTTTCTGCTGTCTTTCTCTGCATGTGTTTCTGCTTTCCTGATGGGACACTCAACAAAGTACTGCCCTTTCTCAGCGGGAATGGCTGATTCTCCTTGTTGGCAGGCTCTCTAAGCTGTTAATTGGTCCCCGGCCTGTTCAGAGGAGTCTCCCTGAAGTGGATCCAGCTGTGCTGCGGCCTGCAGCTGTGGGCGCAGCTGCTCTCCCGGGGCCACGAGAGCCGCTGGGCAGCACCCCCTGCCGTGGTGGGAAGGTCCTTGCACAGGAGCCAGGCACCCAGTTCTCTGTTCCCACCCACCTGGAAGTGTCCTGTGGTGGAAATTCATTTCTTGCACAGTTCCTGGGTCAGTGCTTAACAAAACTAAGATTTTTAACCATAAGTTTAAAAAATTGTGGTTCAAAACCATCCCAGATGTATCATCTTAACCATTTTGGAGTATATAGTTTAGTAGTGTTAACTATATTCACATTGCACATCATACCCCCAGAACATTTTTCATCTTGCAAACCTGAAACTATACCCATTGAACAACTCTTCCTGCTCAGCCTGGTCTCTGGTAACCATTCTACGTTGTTTTCATTAATTTGACTACTTTAGGTTCTTTAATATAGGATTTGTCTGTGGCTGGCTTATGCTACTTAGTGTAATATCCTCAAGATTCATCCATGTTGTAGCATTTCCTCCCTTTTATAAGTTAAATGAGGGACACCTGGGTGGCTCAGATGGTTAAGCATCTCCCCTCAGCTCAGGTCATGATCCCAGGGTCCTGGGATCCAGTCCTGCATTGGGCTCCTTGCTCAGCGGGGAGCCTGCTTCTCCCTCTGCCCCTCATCCCTCTATCATGTGCATTCGTGCTCTCTCTCAAATAAATAAAATTTTTAAAAAAATGATATTCCGGGTTGAATGATACTCTGTTGTGTATATGTACCACATTTTCTTTATTCATCATCAGTGGACATTTGAATTGCTTCCACCTCTTGGCTACTGTGAATAATATGAACATGTGAATACTGTGAATAATGAACATGCAAGTGCAAATGTACTTTCAAGATCCTTTTAAAAAATTCTTTCACATAAATGCAGAGAAGTGGGATTGCTGGATTCCACGGTAGTTCTATTTTTTTTTTTTTTAATGTTTTGAGGAACCTCCATACTGTTTTCCTTGGCAGCTGTACCATTTTACAATCCCACCAACAGTATACAGGGTGCCAATTTCTCCATGTCCCTTCTGACACTTACTCATTTCGATGGTAGCCATCCTAACGAGTGTGAGGTAATACCTCATTGTGGTTATGATTCGCATTTCTCTCATGATTAGTGAAGTTGAGCATAATTTCGTATGTGCATTGGTCATTTGTATATTATCTTTGGAGAAATGTCTATTCACATCCTTCGGCCATTTTAAAATTTGGCTTCTTGATTTTTTTTGTTGTTGCATTGTAGGAGTTCTTACATATTCTGGATGTTAACCCCTTCTCAGATGTATGATTTGTTAGTGTTTTCTCTCATCCCATAGGCTGCCTTTTCATTCTGTTGATTGTGTCCTTTGATGCACAAAAGTTTTTTAAGTTTGAAATAGTCCCATTTATCTCCTTTTGCTTGTACTTTTGATGTCATAAGCAATAAATCATTGCCAAACCCAATGTCTTGAAGCTTTCCCCCTCTTCTAGTTTTACAGTTTTAGGTCTTTATCCCATTTTGAGCTAACTTTTTTGTATGTTGTAAAATAAGGGTCTAACTTCACCCCTTTGCATGTGGATATCCAGTTTCCTAACACCATTTGTAGAAGAGACCATCTTTTCCCCTTAAGTGGTCTTGGCACCCTTATCAAAGATCATTTGACCATACAAGCAAGGGTTTGTTTCAGAATCCCATTTAATTGTCTGTCTTTACGCAAGTACCACACTCTTTGATTCCTGTAGCTTTGAGGTATGTTTTGAAATAAGGAAGTGTGAGGTCTCCAACTTTATTTTTCTTTTTCAAAATTGTTTTGGTTGTTTGAGGTCCCTTGAGATTCCAAATGCATTATAGGATGAATTTTTCTGTTTCTGCAAAAAAAAAAAATGCCATTGGCATTTTGATAGGGATTGTGTAGATTGCTTTGAGTAATGTGGACATCTTAACAATATTAAATCTTCCAATTTATGATCACAGGATGTCTTTCCACTTTTGTGCTGCCTTAAATTTCTTTCACCAATGTTTTGTAGTTTTCAGAGTACAAGTCTTTCACCTTTTGGTTAGGTTTGTTCCTAGTATTTTATTCTTTTTGATGTGTTATGAATGGACTTGTTTTCTCAATTGCCTTTTCAGATTATTCATTGTTAGTATATAGAAACACAACTGATTTTTGATTTGATGTTTTATCCTGCAATTTTACTGAATTTGTTTTAACATTTTTTTTGGTGTATATACTCTTTAAGGTTTTTTTACATATAAGATGATGTCATTTGCCAACAGATCTTTTTAGTCTTTTTATTTTCTATGCCTTTTATTTTGCTTTCTTGCCTATTTTGGATGTAAATGTTGAGTGTGGGCATCCTTGCCTTGTTCCTGACCTTAGAGGAAAAGCTTTCAGGCTTTCATCATAGAGAGTGATGCTAGCTGTGGACTTTTCATATATGACCTGTATCATGTTGATGTAGTCGTCTAATTTTTGTTTGTTGAGTGTTTGTATCATGAAAGTGTGTTCAGTATTGTCAGATGCTTTTTCTGCATCAATTGA